ATCTATGAACTCAAACAGTAAAATATATTGGAAAAAAAACCCAAAAGAACTGCGGATGCTGTAAATCAGGAGCAAAAACAAAGTTGCTGGAAAAGCTCAATAGGTCTGGCAGCATCTGTGAAGGAGAAAACAGAGTTAACGTTTCGGGTCCGGTGACCCTTCCTCAGAACTGTATTATGCTGGATGCATTAATTTTAATATCCATTTTAAAAAAAACCCTGAAAGTTGCTTTTGTTTAAGCTATATTTTGAGAGGAGGAGCAGGTCCCCAGTTTAGAGAGCAGGAAACTGTTGGGTAAAATTCAGTTCAAATTATTTCCATTTAGAATTTGAGCTGATGACTTTACATGGGCCATTAGGCACAATAATGATTTAAGGCAAGATGGTTGTCTTAACAATCAAGAAATTTAGCACGGAGGTGCAAACCTGCACTTCACCACTTTTCTAACTATGCTCAGATATTCTTGCTCACAATTCTGTACTTTTACTTGGTATTCAGGGTGCAGAAACTGTTAAAAGATTTTTGTGAGTGTATCAATTCCCTCTCTTTCAACTTTCTTGACCTACTTGTGAAATTGAACACGTGAAACAAAAAGTGAACAAGCTACTTTTCAGGTGGTTAATTCTGCCCTTAAGTTGGCTGTTGTTGAACAGGTCCTAAAACAATCTTCCTGTTGAATCTTCTTTTCTTTTAATGTCCATTCACAGAATGTGAGCACACACAGCTGGTAAGGCTATAATTTATTGCCCATCCCTAATTGCCCTTGAGAAGATATAAGTAGCTGCTTTCTTAAACTTTATGGAATGTACAATATCTGGCTTGGTCCTGCCTGTGAATGTATGTTAAAGGAAACACTCCATATAAACGAATGCACCCGATTTGAAGAAAAGGCGAATTAAACAAAAAAAACTCTAAGAATTAAATTGATAACAGAAGCACAAAATATAACTGAAAAGTACTATTGTTATAGCATTGTTGCTCCACAATGACAAAAGGCAGTGTTTTCTGGTGAGTTTGGCTGCCCACTGTACTCTCCATCTAATGTTCTGTTTCTTTAAGTTTCATCCCAAATAAATTAAGGAACCTGAGTGAACATTGAACATGGAATACAGCATGGGAACAGGCTTTTCAGCCCACCATGTCTGTGCTGACCATTTCCATGCTTGATATGACTCTAAATGCCTCTTAAAGTTTGCTAACATATCTGCTTCTACCATCTCCACTGCCAGTGTGTTTCAGGCATCTACTACTCTGTGTAAAAAAAACTTTGCCCACCTGTCTCCCTTAAACTCTTCCCCTTAAACTATGCTGCCTAGTATTTCACATTTCCATCCTGGGGAGATATGGCGACTATTCACCCTATCCTTGCCCTTCATAATTTCATATCCTTCTATCAGGTCGCACCTCAGCTTCTGATATTCTATTGAAAACGATCCAAGGTCATCCAATATATCCTTATAGCTAATATACTCTAATTCAGGCAATATCCTGGTAAATCTCTTTTGCATGCTCCATAAAACCCCCACATCTTTTCTATAGTGTGGAGATCTGAACTGCACACAATACTCTAAATGTGGCCTTACTAAAGTCTTATACAGCTGCAACATGACTTGCTAACTTTTATACTCAATGTCCCAATCAATGCAGGCAAGCATACTCTATGCCACCTTACCATTTTATCTACTTGTGTTTTTACTTCCATGGAGTTTTGGACTTGGACTTCAAGATTCCTCTGTATATAAATGCTCCTAAGTGTCCTACCATTCACTGTTTATTTTCCTCCTGAATTTAACATGCATCAACTCATGCTTGTCTGGATTAAACTCCACCTACCATTTCTTTACCCAACATCCTTTTTTAATATTCCTCACAATCCACAACTCCACCCTTTTTCATGTCGTCTGAAATCTTACTAATCAGAACACCTACATTTACATCTGAGTTATTTGTATATATTACAAATGACAGTGGTCTCAGAACTGATCCCTGTGGAACACCATTGGTTACAGACCTCCAGTCAGGAAAAAAATCCCTCCACAATTCCCCTCTGTCTCCTAATGACCAAGCCAATTTTGTATCCAATTTGCCAACTTACCATAGATCCCATGCAACTTAATCTTCTTGAACAGTCTGCCATGAGGGATCTTGTCAAATGATTTAATAAAGTCCATGTGAACAACATCCACTGCCCTCATCAATCATCTTCGTAACTTCCTCAAAATTTGTGAGACAAGACCTCCCCTGTATAATGCCATGCCTGTTTTCCCTAAAAGTCCATTCTTCTCCAAATTCAAGTAAATCCTGTTGCTAAGAATCTTTTCCAATAATTTCTCTATCACTGATGTTAGGCTCACCAGTTTATAATTTCCTGGATTATCTCTGTTGACTTCTTAAACAAAGTACTTAGTTTCTCTCCAGTCTTTTGGGACCATACCTGTGGCTAAAGAGGATACAAAGGCCTCTGTCAAGGCCCCAGCAATCTCTTTTCTTGCCTCCTTCAGTATCCTGGGATAGATCCCATCAAACTCTGGGGATTTTTCTGCCTTAATGTTTGACAAAACACCCAACATCTCCTTATTCTTAATATCGACATGCCCCAGATTATCAACATATCCCTTCCTAAATCTATCATCATTCATGTCCTTCTCCTTTGTGAATACCGATGCAAAGCACTCATTAAGGGCCACACCCAGTTCCTCTGGCTCCATGCATTAATTCCTCCGTTGTCCTTGAGTGAACCTACTCTTTCCCTAGTTACCCTCTTGATCCTAATATATGTATGAAATGCTTTGGGATTCTCCTTAATCCTACTTGCCAAGAACATTTCATGGCCTCTTCTATCCCTCCTAATTTCTTGGTTAAGTTCTTTTTTGCTTTCTTTATATTCCTCAATTGCCATGTTTAATTTCAGTTCCCTAAACCTTAAACATGCTTCCTTTATCTTTTTGACTAAACTTTTGAATATCTGTTGTCATGCAAAGTTCTGGAATCTTGCAATCCTTGTCTTTTATTGCCACAGGAACATGCTGCTCCTGAACTCTGATCAACTGGCCTTTAAAAGATTCCCACATGTCAGATGTGAATATACTATCAAACTTCTACCCCCAAGTCTTCCCTCTGACTTAGCACATTCACCCATGGACTTATCTTTTCCATAACCATATTAAAACTTATGGGATTGTGATCACTGTTCCCAAAGAGCTCTCATACTGAAACTTTGATCACCAGCTCAAGCTCATTCCACAATACAAGGTCTGGTATGGCTACTTTCCTGACTGGACTATGTACATATTGTTTCAAGAAACCATCCTGAATGCACCTAACACATTCTGTTGTTTTTACATCTTTCCCTGATATGCTCACAAATATCCTGTTGGCTATTAGGAGGCCAGTAGTATAACCCCATCATGGTGATTGCACCTGCCTTATTCCTGAGTTCTACCCATATAACCTTGCTGGTTGAACCCTTCAAGATGTCTTCTCTTAGTACAGCTGTGACATTCTCCTTAATCAGTAATGCAACTTCCCCACCCCTTTTACATCCTACTCTACCTCGCCTGGAACGTTGAGCTACCAGTCCTGCCCTTCTCTCAAACAAGTTTCTGTAATGGCTACCACGTTGGTAGTCCCATGTATTAACCGAAGCTCTAACTTCACCTGCTTTACCCATTATACTCCTTGCATTAAAGTAAATACACTTCAGTAAATAGTCCGACAGTCCCACCTTGTTCATTAACCTGGCTCTGCCTGTTCTTCCTATTAGACTTACTTGACTTAATGTGAGCCTTCTCCTCAATCACTCTGCATGCTGGCCAACTGCTCCGTTTCCTACCCAACCACCACACTAGTTTAAACTCTCCCAAGTGGAACTAGCAAACTTTCCTGCAAGGATATTGGTGCCCCATCAGTTTGGGTGCAACCTCTCCTGCAAGTACAGGTCCCTCATTCCTTGGAAAAGTTCCCTGTGATCGAGATAACTGAAGCACTCCCTTGCTGTGATTTCATACCGCTGCGATCCCATTACATTTTGAATTTTGCTCCAGCTATATCCAGAAAATTTTGGAACATTGGAATATAAATTCATAAAATTGGTAGTAGGGAACAATTAGCCCATTTGGAGTCTGCCCCATATCCTTTCTCATTGACTTCAAAAGAATAGGGTGTAAATAAAATCTGCCAATTCCCTATTGTCCATCAGGCACAAGATGAATTAGTACCCTGATTTTGTTTTCAGAGTGCCAAGGCATGAAGAGCTGTTTGTTTCTACTGGAAACACATTGTTTATCCTAATCTTGGAATATCAGTAGAAATGTTAGAAAAACAACACACTGATTCAATTCAATTCACTTGAATATATTTCTGTATTACTATGTTTTTACCATCAGTTTCATGCTTAGGCTAAAAATAATGACTACGATTTGTCATCATTGCATTAGTTAGTTGGTCTGCTTTACTTATAAATGTCACAGTCACGACTACACCATAATTCTCTGTATTGCTGCTAGCTTTTTATGTTGATTGTCTATTGTTTCAAATGTTGCTGCAATTTAGTTATAGTGCAATGCCTAGAGGTTATTCTAAAGAGAAATGTGTTGTCTACTTAAGATAAAACACAGCTTCAGGGAGGAAAATTTACAAGTTTAATATCCCTGTAGGCTAATTTCTATTCTCAGCACAATCACATGTCGAGGCCCATGGGTATATCCAAAGTGGCTTCATCACCACAAGATAAATGCTCATTTAATTAGCAATATTATCTGGAACAGTACCATATCTGCCCAGCTATCATTGGAATGCATCCACTTTCTTTGAATTGTACATACTAAAAATGATTTTTTTTGTTCACAGGGCATGGCTCATCTTTAACTCATGAGGAGGCAGCACCTGATTTTGAGATACTGCCTTCTACTTCTACTGAGCTGTCTGCAGTCTTATCAGATAGTGAAATACTGTTGCAGTCTGTCTCCACTGATCCAGCTGTTACTTTTACAACTAGTGAAATGCTGTCAATGTCTGCTTCAATGCAGACATCTAAACCCACAGACAGCCAAATTTTACCACAACCTATTTCCAAAGATTCAACTGATGCCCTGATAGATAGTGAAACATTATCACATCCTGCTCCAATAGTACCATCTGCTACATTTATAACTGGTGAAATATTACAGGCTACCTCAAACGATTCATCTCCTACTTCTGAAAATGAAATGTTATTGTGGCTTGACACAACAGCTCAAACTTCTACTCAAATAGATGGTTCAGATACTGAAGCAGTATTCAAGCCTACCTCATCCAGTCCATCTTTTATCACAGAGAGTGAAGTGTTATCCCAGATGACCTCAACAGGCCCATTTGCTGTCATAGAGAATGAAGGGTTATCCCAATCTACTTTAACAGGCCCACCTATCATCAAAGAAGGGGAACTAGTGTCTGAGTCTACCTCAACTGAAAGTGAGAGATTAAAGCATGAACACAATGTCATCACAACAGAGACTCCATATAGCATTGGCATGGCATTGGAATTTTTGCCAGAAATTTCTCCTCCCTCTGTGCTCCCAGATGATTATTTAGAACTCAATTTTAGTACTGGGTCTTCAGACATTGTTTCATTTAAGAATGTCTCTGAACAGCCTACTCTCAGTCAATATTTGACTACTACATCATTTCAGCCAACTGATAGTGCTTGGAAAAGCAATTCATTTCTAGAGGATAACATGATGTCAACAGATGATATTTCAGAAATAGAAGCAGCAACAACTTCATCGGTTTTAATGTCCTCAATAACCCAGGGATCAGGTACATCAATCAGAGGGCATAACAAAGAAAGTATGACTAAACCATTTGGTGGACAACTAGTTCCAGAAGGTGAAAAATCTTCAGGTATGGTCGATTCTGAAATCTGTTTAAGCCCGTAACTAGCTAAATATGCTATGTTCATCATATTTATGAAACTAAACAATATTTTGCAATTTTAGTTATAAAACTAAATACTCATTGTGATGTTAATGATGATGCAATAACTGACCCAGACTGTGCCAAACAAATTCAATTATTAATTGAGATTCTGTAATATTTCAAAGAGTTTTCTAAAATGAAGGTGGAATGGCTACAACTGTTATAACAGTTTGTATTACAACAAATCAGTGTGAAGAGAACTAGAAAATCTGGTGTATTATTGTTTCTTGTTTGACTGGTTATTAATAATGCTAGTTCTTCATTTTCTTGAAAGATTCTGACAAGAATTTCACTAGCCCTTTGGGGATGTGGATATTCCCAGAAGCAGTCCCAATCTTGTCTCCACTGGAACCAGTTCATGGCAAGGTGGGATCTGTAAAAGCTGGACAGTCAATCAGGACAAGACCTTGCTGGGAGATTTGCTGGTGATGTTGAGGAGAGCTTAAACTAGATTGCCAGGGAAATGTAAACTTGAGGGCAAATTCAGAGTAAGGAATGGGAGGCAGAAATTTAATGAGTGATTATGAGAGACCAAGGTTAAAAAGTGTACAGCAGAGGAATTTGGCAGGATTAAAAGGTAGATTTGTAAGTATAAGGAGTATGGCAAATAAAGCCAATGTACTGAGGGCACAGATGGACATGGCAGCATGGTGACATTGCTGTAATGGAATCTTGGCTTAAAGGGCATGAATGGCAGTTCATCATTCCTGGATATAAGTTTTCAGGTAGGATTGAGAAGGGGTTTAAAAAGGTGCAGCATTATTAGTTGAATTATTACTGCTAGGAAAAAGAATGATATACTAAATGAGTCAAATGAGACTATATAGATTAGGCTTAGGAACAAAAAAGGGCAGCAGCATTGCTATAGGTATGTACTATAGACCCCAAGTAGTTGGAGAGAGTTAGAGGAGCAAATATATAGGCAAATTTCACAGTGCAAAAACAATAGGGCAATAGTAGTTAGGGAATTTAACTACCAAATGCCAACTGGGATACAAACAGCATGAAAGGTGCAGAGGACACAAAACACTTGAACTGCTTTTGAGGGAACTTTTTCTCATCAGCACGTAACAAGCCCAATGAACCCAGGGAGGTGATGGTCTTGTAGTTTTATAGTTGGACTGTTAATCCAGAGCCTCAGGGAATGTTTTCAAGATTCAGGTTCAAATTCCACCACAGCAAGTGTCATCTGAATTCAATTTTTAAAAAATCTGGAATTAAGTGTCTAACAATGACCGTGAAACCGTTGTTGCTCGTCGGAAAAAACCCAACTGGTTCACTAAAGCTGTTTAGGAAGGAAACTGCCATCCTTACCTGGTCTGGCCTACATGTGACTCCAGACCCACAACAATGTAGTTGACCCACAACAGCTCTCTAGGCAACTGAGGATGGGCAATAAATGCTGGCCTGGTTAGTGATGCCCTTATCCTGTGAATGAATAAAAAAGAGCGGTGTAATTCTAGATTTAGTCTTAGGAAGTGAAGCTAGGCAGGTGGATGAAGTAGCAGTGTATGACCATTTTGAAAATAGTGATCACAATATTGTTAGATTTAGTTCTAAATTGGAGGAAGGAACATTTTACGTTGTTAAGAGACAACCTGGTAAAAGTAGTCTGGATACAACTATGTGAAAAAAATTCAGTGGTACATCAGTGGGAGGCATTCAAAAGTGAGATTATGCAGGTATGGTGTAAACATGGCTCCACAAAGAAAAGGGGTGTTGCTGTCAAATTTAGAGCCCCCAGTTATCCATAAGCATTTTTGTTTATTTGTCATGGGATGTGGCTATTGCTGACTAGGATGGCATTTATTACCCTCCCTAAATTGCCAGTCGACGACTTTGCTGGAGTCACATGTAGGGCAGACCTTGTAAGTATGACAGATGTTCTTCCCCAGAAGTCATTCGTGAACCAGATGGCTTTTTTTGTCATTCAGTATGGCTGCTATTAGATTACATTTTTATTTTCCACTTTTATTGAATTCAAATGTCATCATCTTTCAAGGTGGGATTTGTACCTATTTCCAAAAACAATGTGTGTGGGACTCTTGATTATTAGTGATACACCACCCCCCAATCCCCTCCCCTCCCCAAATATAGAATAAGATACTTCAGAAAAATAGAGGTTATGATGATCTCAAAAAAGTAATATTTTAGGAAGATAAGAGGAGTGTAGAAACTTTAGGGATCAAATGAAGAAGGAAATTAGAAAAGCAAAGAGGATACAGAAAATGCTGACTGGTAAAATTAAGAAAAATACAAGCATGTGTTATCTGTACATTAAGAGCAACAGGATAATTAAGGAAAGAGTAGATCTTATCAGACCAGTGTATGGTAACTGGAGCGAGGATGCAGAACATGGAGACACTATTTTTTATGAATACTTTGTCTTCACAAAAGAGAGGGATGATGCAGACGTTCTATTTATAGAGGAATGTGAAATACTAGAAAAAGTAAGCAAAATGGGAAGGGAAGTACCGAAGATACAGACCTCCTTGAAGGTGGATAAATGAACTATATCCCAGCCTGTTAAAGGAAGCCAGGTAAGAAATTGCAGATGCTGTTGAGGATTCATTTTCCAAATCTCGTTAGATAAGGGCACTGCGGCCTCAGCACCAGGGACCCAGGTTTGATTCAACCCTGGGGCAACTGCCTGTGTGGAGTTTGCATGTTCTCCAGGTGTCTGCATGGGTTTCATCTGGGTGCTATAGTTTCCTCCCACAGTCCAAAGATGCGCAGGTTCGGTGGATTAGCCATGCTAAATTTCCCATAGTGTCCAGGGATGTGTAGGTGAAGTGGATTAGTCATGGGAAATGCAGGATTGCAGGAAATAAGGTTAGGAGGTGATTGGTCAGGGTGGGATGCTCTTTGGAGGGTCGGTGCCGTGGGTGGTATGGCCTGCTTCCACACAGTAGGGATTCACTGAGGTACCAGAGGTTTGTGAATGTTGTACCACTACTCAAAAAGTGAGTGAGTGATAGCCCAAATAATTATAGGCCAGCCAGTCAATCTGACGTCAGTCATGGACAAATAACTAGAATCAGTACAGAGAGATAGAGTTAATGATCACTTAGAAATTAAGGCATTGATTAATCAGGGATAATCAACATCATTTTGTTAGGGGAAAGTCTTGTCTTAATAACAATGTAATTTTTTGAGGAAGTTACAAAGAGGATTGATGAGAGTAGTGCAGTGGGTGTTGTCTAAATGAATTTTAGCAAGGCATTTGACAAGGTCCCACATGGCTAACTAGTCAGAAGAATTAAAGTGTTTACAGATTAAATGGAAAGCCAATTCCAGTGGTGTTCCATAGGGCTTAGAATAGGGTGCCTTGCCTTTTGTGTTATATATTAATATTTTAGACTTAAATGTGGGAAGTATGATTGGGAAACTTGCAGACAACACAAAAACCGACTGTATAGTTGATTGAGAAGAGATGGCTCTTGACTGCAGCATTATGTCAATGGTTTGGTTGCGTGGGTGGAAAAGTGATAAATTGAATTCAATCTAGAGAATTAAATTAAGTGAGATAATATACAATAAGTGGTAGGATATTAGGAAAGATAAATAAAGTGAGAGGCCTTAGAGTGCAAATCCACAGGTCCCCGGAAGTGGCAGGATAGGTAGATAATGTGCTACAGAAGGCAATAGGATGCTTTCCTTCACTGGGTGAGGTATTGAATACAAAAGAAGGTATGTATTGTCGGAACTATAATGAGACATTAGTTAGCCCACTTGGATTGAGCAAGTTTATTTACAGCATCTGCAGTTCTTTTGGTTTGTTTATTTTCTCATTTTATTTCTTCACCCCATAAAGGTTTCACAGTCTCCCCATTTCTGTAAGTTGATATTATCCCCATGGGTTTAGCTACAGCCTTTATTTTTGTTCAGAAACTATTCCCAGTGATTTATAAGGGCAGCATTATTCAGACACCACAATTCAAATCATTCCATGGCAGATGGTGGAATTTGAACTCAATAAAAAAGAAACCTGGGATTAAGAGGCTAACATTGACCATGAAACCATTGCCAATTGTCAGAAAAACACGTCTGGTTCACTGATGTCCTTCAGGAAAGGAAATCTGCCAAACCTACCTGGACTACATGTGACTCCAGACCCGCAGCAATATGGTTGACTCTTAACTGACCCCTGGACAATTAGGGATGGGCAATAAATTCTGGTCTGGCTAGTCATGTCCACATCCCATGAATGAATAAAACAAAAATCATTTGTATCTTTTCCTCCTTCTCTAAGATATACCAAAGAACATTATAAAGCCTCCCTTATCTCAAAATTTAGAGACCATTATAGTATAGAAGACATTTTAAGCATCTTCACTTCTTCCACCCCCCTTCATTAGCTTCTGTTCAATATGTCCCACTCCTACTCATTGACTAATTGGCAACTTACGTATTCTGAGCCAGATCTTTCTCTCAGCGTGGGGGTAAAAATCTGCTTGAGAAAGACAAAACACTGTTTATCCTGCATAAAAAAAAACATTCTTCTTGCGTTCTTGACCTCACACCAGTTTTGAGTGGCCTTCCCATGAATTGGAAAGGCCTTGGCTGCAAAATGTACATATAAATCTTTCAAGATCCGGATCCCCCTTTTGAGAACTACAGGAAAGTCATATTACCTCCCTGTACAACTATTTTCATGCACTGATATGGGTTTTCGAAGTTACCGTAAAAATGCACCATCTTGGAGTGTTTGTAACCAGTGGGGAAGCCTGCTGAGGATTGGAAAACTTTCTAGCAAGTAAATTTAAAATATCTGGGGACACCTTCAAACATCACTGAGAGGTATATTGTAATGAGAATGTGTTTTGAATACAGTATTTCATTATAGGGCTTTGTCCTGCAAAGTTAATTCAATCATTACATTGACAAAATTGCTTAACCATTGACATAAATTACAATATGCTCTTCATTGCATAAATTGCCACAATGTATTCAAAAATGTGAAAAAAGGTATTTGTAAACAATTATGTCATGTTTACATGGGATTTAAATGAAGAGTCAGCTCTAACTTTGTGGGAGTTTGAGATAACTGTAGAGCTTCAGTCATGAATCTTGTATAGATTCATGACTGATACTATCCATGATTAGATTGAGGACTAATTCTCCTCCTAGCTTGAAGAAGTTCAAAAACCTTTCTCAAAGATATTATTGATACTATTGAAACTCGATCATGGCCTTTCAGAGCTGCAGCTGCTTAGCACAACTTTAATGGGAGGAGTGGGTCTATTTCAAATCCATCTAGAACCAAGGAAGAGATCAGAGATGGGTACACAGTTATGCCTGTCGCTTTGTGGGGATTTTTTCCTTTTCCAGACCCACTCAGGCCCCTCCCACAATCTTTTCTCTGGTATTTCGATGACATCTTCATTTAAGCTTCCTGCTGTCTTCCGGAATTGGAAAAATTAGTCAATTTTGTTTCTGATTTCCCTCCTTCTGTCAACCTCACCTGCTTGTCCCTGACTCTTTCCTTCCTTGACTTCTGTGTTACCATTTCTGGGAATAATTTGTCCGCTAATATCTGATACAAACCCATTGACTCCCAAAGTAAGCTTCGCTACATTTCCTCACACCCTGCTTACTGTGAAGTCTCCATTCTGTACTCAGTTTCTCAATTCCTGTTCTATCTGGTCTGATGTTGCCACCTTCCACAGGAGTGCCACTGCCCCCACAAGTCCTCATTTTCCCTCAAACAAGGATTCCTCCCCTCAATTGACAGGATTCTTGGTTGTGTCTGACTTACTTCGGGCACTTCTGCCCTTACCCTTTCTCCTATCTCTTAGATATATGATAAGGTTCCCTTTGTTCTCACCTCCCACCTCACTAGCCTCTACATTCAAAGGAGCATCCGCTGCAATTTCATCTAGCATCAGCAGGATACCACAACCAAACACGCCTTCGCCTTTCCTTCTTCTCCACATTCCAGAGGAATTGTTCTCTCCATAACACCCTAGTCCACTCTTTCACTCCAAACACCTCTTCACCCTTCCTCCCCAACCATGCACATTCGTGTCCAATAGCAGAAGGGTAACAGTTGTCCTTTTACCTCCTCTCTCTTTATTGTCCAGTGCCTAAACACATTTTTCTGGTAAATCAATAATTCACTTGCACCTTTTTCAATCCTGTCTACTGTAATTTCTGCTCACAATATGGATTCCTGTACTTTGAGAACAGAGACTGAGTGACTCCACTTTGTGAATAAAACTTCCTTAACTGAAATAATTAAATCCAATATTGATAGAGAATGCAGAGATATTTGATGAAGAATGGACAACACTAATTGGAAACTTTAAGGAAAATCAGTCTTTAGGTTTTTAACAAGTGTTCTTTGTTTGATACTCAGGAATTGACTTTCTCAAGGAATTCCATGTACTTTCTTCAGGAGCAGTAGAAGTAAAAGGATCACAGCCACATAATTCAGCATTCCGGCTTAGTCCTTCATTACATCTGAGAAAAGAAACTGGGTATGATATTTCATGCTATAGACAGTATCCTTGTTAATGGCTTTTTAGTTGTAGAAGTTGTGTGCGGTAAAGATGATGCCCCCTTGGGTGGAATTTTCCTCACACTTGACCAGCATTGTCAATGGTGACAAAGTTGGGAAAATACACAGTGAAAATGGAAATATCATTCTGGATGTTGCGAAGAAATTCCCAATTTTCCTTTTAAGGTTTAAAACAGTGAGTTCAAAATCTTGCTAATGAGCAGTGACCCCCTTATTCCATGCAATTGCATCCCATTGTTAGTTAAACTCGATTCAGTTCTAAGCAGTTCTCAATTCTCCTCTCCTTCTCTTCAAAGCTAGATGCCACCAAATCCTGACATGAAAGTCAGAGTGGTAACCTGGCAGCATGTCACTTGCTTCTTTGGGTCTTCATCCAACTCTGTTTTCACAGCAACGTCCCTGCATGCTCAGTGGACATGATCCTCTTCCACCCTAGGTCACAATAAATCAGCGATAGCAAACCACCAGCCTTACCACATCATCATGCCTGCTTTCAGGCCAACTCTCACACTCCATCACCCTTCAGGACTTCACTTTGGAGCTCAGGAACACTTATGGCTTGCATTCTTCTGCCACATTGATTTTCGTGAAGGAAAATGCTCTTCACTTATTAGTCAATCTCCCAGTGGCAGTTTTCTTGGGCAGTAACCATGACCTGGATATGAGGCAACACCCTGCCCTGAGCACCCTCCCTGAGTCACCCCTCCCTGAAGCTCATCATTGCACACAACCAGCTACAGGTGTCTGGCGATGATGTGGGTTTTCTTGATATCCCAGTCTGTATTGCTAGTCGGCTTGAGGATTTCAGCTGTCACATACTTGAATACTGCAGCTAGATAGACCAATGCTCCAGTCGCTCAGCATAGTTGCCCTTTCTCAAGGTCTGTGAGCACTGCCCATCAGGACGACCGAGATTTCAACTTGGCCTGAGCTTTTCCTCTTCCTGACATTTCCACAATTTTACAGGCATTAGCTTACATTCATGGGTCCTCCATGGATGGAGAGTGCAGCCAGTTGTTGCCCTATAGACCGTGCCTGGAGATTTTGGGGAACGCTGGCCAAGCTGAGGCACAGAGGAGTTGTTGGGGGGCGGGGGGTGCAGCTGCCAAGTAACTGCTCTGACTTTCAAGTCAAATATTGGCACCATCCAGTTTCTCACCACTACCTGGGAGTATCCAAATAAGGTGTGATTGATAATAATGTGATGTTAATATGAACATATGAACAAAGAACAAGAGTAGGCCACTTGACCCTTTGAGCCCAATCCACCATTCAATAAGACCATGGTTGAACGGACTTCAGCCTCAACACTACATTCCTGCATATCTCCAATAATCTTTCATCCCTTTGGTAATCAAGAATCTATCTATCTATCACTGGTTAAAAGATATTCAAATATTCTGCATCCACTGCCTTTTAAGGAAGGGAATTCCAAAAACTCTCAACCCTCTGATAGAAAAAAAGTGCTGCCTCATCTGTCTTAAATTGGTGATCTCATATTTTTAAACTATGATTCCTAGTTCTGGGTTCTCCCGCAGCAGGAAATATCCTTTCAACTGCCATCTGGTCAAGTCCCCTCAGAATCTTGCGTTTCAGTTAAGTCACTTGTGACTCTTCTAAATTTGAGGATACAGGCCTAGTCTGTCTAGCCTTTCCTCATTAGGCAATCCCCTCATTCCAGATATTAGTCCAGTAAACCTTCGCTGAACTGCTTTCTTAATAATTTACATGTACATTTTCATTATACCACAGAGACTAAGCAATTCCACAAGTTTTCAAGTGACTGGTTCAGTTTGAGTGATTGATTTTAAATGTGGTTAGGCATTAATTCTCTCTAGGTTTTAATAATGAAAGCGACTTAATTAATCTTGAGAGTCTTTCATGATGGCTTATATAATTATCTTTGAATCACATTTAGTTTTTGTTTAAGGTCTGAAGTGAGTATGCATTGAATATGTTAATTTGTTAAGTATTATTTTGCTGTTTTATTAAGCAATGGCAGACTCTGAAGTGACAATATTCCCAATTTCTATTTTAGATATGTGTGTCCAAATGGAATTCCCTCTGAGTATTCCATTATCGCTACATTCAGGATGTTGGGAGATACCACACAAAGTATTTGGAATTTATGGGAAGTCAGTGATATAAATGGACGAGAGCAAGTTGGCATTCGTTTTTTTGGGAACTTAAAATCTTTGGAACTTTTCTACAGAACTTCAGATAATAACATCATTTCCCGAACATTCAACAATGTGGGTATACTTTTTGATGGACGCTGGCACAAATTAGCACTAAGTGTAAATGAAAGAAAGGCCAAATTGCTAATTGATTGCACTCAAGCTAGTGAAGTTCTACTTAACGACCAACATGTGATAAATGGAAATGGTTACACTTCAATTGGAATAAGGATGCTGGACAATTCAACAGTTTCAGTAAGTTAAACAGAATTCTAAACTTGTAGGAATCCTCTTAACCATTAAGTTATGTGCTAATTTAACAAAGTTAATAGAGAAGAATGATTTTCTTTTAAGCAATCAGAATGAATGTAACCACACATCGTTGACCTTTGCAATTACAGTTTAGATTCTGTCTTCTGCTTGACGTTGTGTTTCAACAGAGTTTTATGTTGAGTAACTATCTCACATCAGTAAGTGATAATAGAACAATGTCTGCATGTTAATGTTGATATACTATGGCCTTTAAATCAATGGATATATACATTGCTATCTTTGGCTATCATTTTAAATCTTTACAAAATATGACTGCGAGGGGGAAAATCTTCTCAATTTCAGATTCACACCTTTCTAAAACCCCAAAACATTTAGCATTACTGTATTGAAAATATATAGACAAATCATACTGAAAAATAGTACCACCTCCTTAAATTCCCTAATCCTAAGCCTTTTGGTTTATCTTTGTTAGTTATGGCTCAGTTGGTAGTGCCAGATCTGCTGAGTTTCTCCAGCATTTCCCATTTGCCTCAAGCCTTCTCCCCTTCCTCTTAGGCATTCCTTTAGGATTAAGGATGATTTGCTTCCACTCTAGATTGATGGGTTCTGAGATCCTTTGCTGTTTTTCTGCTCCACCCATACGGTCTCCACTAAATACTTTGCCTTCATTACATTCTCCCTCACGACTGAAGTAATTTTGTTTCTAATCAATTAGACTACTCCTCCTCCTTTGCCATTTTCTCTGTCCATCCTGTAAACCTTATAACCTCGTATACTTCGTTCCCAATCACAACCATCTTGCACCCATGTCTCAGTAATGGCTAGTATATCATATTCTTCAATTTAAATTTATGCCTGCAGCTCATTTAATTTATTCCTTACACTCGATGCATTCATATATACAACTCTTACTTGAGCCATACATTGCAACCTGTCTTTCAGCACAGATGCTTTATTCACCTGTTTATTATTTTCATTTTACATTTACACTTCTTTGTAGTTTTGTGATTACCTGCTGTACCTGAAGTAGGATTCCTGACTGTGTGTTTCTTTACTGTGTCATGTTACTTCATTTTGAAAATGTTTTGACTTTCCCCCTGAAATATGCCCCTCCCACCCTGAAACATCTACCCCTCCCTGCCATTTATTAGTTTAAAGTCCTTGTGACCACCTGATTTGGACTTTCCACTGAGACATTTGTCCCAGATCAGTTCAGGTGGTGCCCATCCCAAAGGTAGAGTTCCTTCCCATTCAAATACCGGTGCCAGTGCCGTACAAGATGAAACCATCTTCCCATACCACTCGTTTAGCCACGTATTAACTTCCCTAATTTTCTTATCATTCTGTCACTGTGCACATGGCTCAGATAATAATCCAGACTATAACTCGTGAGGTCTTGTTCTTTAACTTTGTTCCTAATTTCTGATATTCTCCAAACAGGACCTCTTGTCTATGTTGTTCACCCAACATGAACCACAACAATTGGACCCTCCCCCTCCCACTCTAATATCCTTTGAAGCAGGTTCGAGATGTCTCTAACCTTGGCACCAGGTAGGCAACACACCATGGGGGGTTCTCAATCCTGTTCACAAAGGATGCTATCTGTACCGCTAATTAGAAAATCCCCAGCCACTGCATCTTCTCTTTTTGCTTCACCTGCATGATTACCCTCCTGGTGCAGGAGATAGTTTGCTCATCCTCTGTACAGTCCTTTCTCTCATCCACACACAGAGCAAGTACCTCATACCCACTGGACAAGGTCAAGAGCCAAGCCTCCCCTAATGCTAAATTCTGGATCTCTCTTCCTGCCTCATTTGTAGGCCCTGACCACTGGCCAGATTTGAAATACTTAACCTATAAGGTGTAGCTGCCTCTTGAAATACAGCATCCAGGTAACGTTCCCCCTCCCTGATGCTCTGACTCCAGCTCATCAACTCTGAGCTGGAGTTCCTTGAACAACCAATACCTTCTGCACCCGAAACATTAACTCTACTTTCTCTCCACAGATGCTGCCAGACCTGTTGAGTTTTTCCAGCAATTTTTGTATTTCCTTGCTACAAGTGTGGTCACTATGACCACAGTGGTGTCCACCAACTCCCACATCATGCAGGTACAACACAAGCCCTGATCCTGCATCTCACATTATTTATTTAATTGATCATTTGTATTTTTAAATTTCCTACTGGTCTTTAGTTTTTAACCTGTAAAATGTTTCTACAATTTACTTTTAATCAGAAAGCAATTTAAGAATAGGTATTCAAATTAGCAGTTATTTATGAAACAATAAACTTATGGCTTTTGTTGTGATGCTAACGTATTTTCTGACCGTTTCTGATCCCTGAGTCCTTTGCGGCCCCCCCCCCCAAAAAAAAAGCCTTGGGCTGCCATGTACTGTCAGCCTCAAACCTCTGCCTTAATTTTTATTTCTTCCTCCGTGTCAGTGTCCTCTCCAGTTGGCTCCTCTTTCCCCTTCTGACCCAATCTCTCTAAGACTTTGCTTAGATATTAAAAAGCAGAAGGACTGAGCAATGAGAGAAAAAGAGGGTCTGATTTGTTTCACCAAACTCCAATTACACTCTAATATAACAAAGCAGCACTCGAGTGCAGACTCATATGGCACCAGCTTGAGAAAGACCATGGGAATAGTTATGTATCAAAGAGAATGCCAAATGCAGAACAGCCAATAGGCAAAGTTAGCTGTTTATTTCTAGCATTACAACAGTGACTGCATTTCATTGGCTGTAAAGTACTTTGAGATATCTTGTGAAAAGCACTATTTAAATGCAAGTCTTTTATTTTAATATCAGCTTGATCTGCAACAACTAGAGCTGCACTATAATCCTGAAAAAGCCTTTTCAGAAGAATGCTGTGAATTATTTGACCTTGTAAGTCTGCTGTATTTACATTCTTTTACATGATCACAAATCACAAATATTCCAAATTAGATTAAATCAATAAATTTCATATTTAAAGATTATTTATCCAAGAAAATATACAAGTTCTTTTTTTGAAAATGTTTTTAAAATAAAAGTGTATTTTAAAACCTGCAACTATGCAGAATTTTCTGCAAAAGAGAATAAACGTTAGAATGGTGCTGTATTCAGTTTTGAAAAAAATATTGGTAAAATGGAATCTTTTGACATCAAACAACAAAGTTTAAGTTACAGGTGTTGTTTCAGCATTGTGACTGTGCCTCACACTCAGTACAGAGAAAAGGGTTGTGATAATATGATCCAGTCACAATCTGGGGATGCTTGGGGTGTGTGAAAAAAATCACTTCAATTGAGAAAACGTTATTCAGTTTGCTTGTATTCAGATTCACAAGCTTAACAATAACAAGTGATGAGGGCACTTGGTGGAATGCATACCTCCACCATGTTGTGTTAACTCAATACCATTACAATTATGCAACTTTTCCTTGTTTTTTTGATGCTCTGTAATTAGGAAGCTCCAAAAATATCCTTGATTTAGAATTGCATCACACAAGGAGGCTACGTCCAAAAGCATGCTCTAAAAAGTCTGCTCATATTTGGACAGCTTTCCATTTCAGCTACTGAGAGGAATCTCAACATTCTAAAACAACCAAAAACTAAACTCAATCAAACAACCAGCAACATTCCACAAAAATTTACTCTGTTTCCCAATAATGATGGATCCGTTTGAAATTCTAGAATCTGAATCCAGAACTACATCCCTACCAAAAATAAATCAATTAATCCTCAGGCAATTCCTTATCCTTAGAATGATTCCTGCAGATTGGAATCTAACTAATGTCACCCCATTATTTAAAGGGAGTGAGAGAGAAAATGGGGACTATAGACTTTGTTAGCCTTGCAGCAGTGTTAGGGGAAATGCTACAATTTATATTAAAGAATGTGGTAAAGTGGACATTGGATAATAATGATCAGATTTGGAATAGTCAGCATGGATTTATGAATGGGGAATCATGTTTGACGAATTTCTTAGAGTTCTTTGAACATGTACGAACAAATTGATAATGGGGAGTTGATGGACGTAGTATACTTGTATTTCAAAAAGACTCTAGATAAGGTTAAAGGGAATTGAGTATAAAAATAAAGTCTTGCTAAAACTATATACAAGACACTAGTTAGACTACTCGCGTAAAGGCAAAATACTGTGGATGTTGGAAATCTGAAACAAACATAGATAATGCTGGACAGGGTAAACAGGTCTGGCACCATCTTTGGAGAAAGAAAAAGTTACTGTTCCAATTCCAGTGTGACTTGTCTTCAGATTAGATGTTTCCCATCATTAGGGAGTCTAGAATCAGGGCCACAATTTAAGAATAAAGGGGATGTAAATTAGGACCAAGATGAGGAGAATTTCATTTTACTCAGATGATTGTAAGTTCAAATCCCGCCGCGGCAGATGGTGGAATTTGAATTCAATAAAAATATCTGGAATTGAGAATCTAATGATGACTGTGAATCCATTGTCGATTGTCGGAAAAACCCACCTGGTTCACTAATGTCCTTCAGGGAAGGAAACTGCCATCCTTACCTGGTCTGGCCTACAAGTGACTCTAGACCCACAGCAATGTGGATGACTCTGAACTGCCCTCTGGGCAATTAGGGATGGATAATAAATGCTGCCTAGCCAGCAACATCCTTATCCTGCTAAGGAATAAGAAAAAAAAGTCTCTAACTTATCAGTTAAGTCAAAATCAGTTAAACATTTACAACAACTGTCTCATGAAAGATAAACCGGTTTTCTTCAGTTTTGTCTGCAGAGAACAGAGTGACTGCTCCTGAGATGGAGAAGAACTGAACACTTCTCTATCCCTATAACTTGTTCTCTGGCCCAAGGTGTTCAATTTGCTGAGAACCAGTCACATAGTTGTTTCCAGGCAAAATGTCTCTGTCATAGATAATTGGTCCATTGAGCAATCAACTTCTTGTTGCTAGCAAGAGCTACATATGCACACCCCCTTGAATCCAAATCATCTGCAACTCAAAATTCAATTACTGCTTGTTCAAACAGTTGTTTACACAATACCCGGCATGGCTGTCAGCTTACTTGCTTTCACATACAGCCACCCATTCAAATGCTGATTTTAAAACAGATATTTTTCATTCCTATTTAAAAAAAACACAAAAAAAGACATGGTCCTCACACACTTAAAACAGTTATGAGGTGGAATTTCTTTTACTAGACTGTTGTTCGTGTTTGGAATTCTCCAGTGACCACAGAAGGCTGATGTGGAGGTGCCGGTGTTGTACTGGGGTGGACAAGGTAAGAAGTCACACGACACCAGTTTATAATTCAAAAAGTCTATTTGAAATCACAAGCTTTCGGAGTGCTTCACCTGTTGAAGGAGCAGCGCTCAAAGCTTGTGATTTCAAATAAACCTGTTGGACTATAACCTGATGTCATGTGACTTCTGACACTGAAACCTAAGTTAGACAAATTTGCAATTGACAAGAAAATTGATGGTTATGAGGGGCTCACAAGAAAGTGGAGTTGAGATCACTTTTTAAGTCAGTAACTATCTGATAGATTGACAGAGTAAGCTCAAGAATCTGAATGGTCTAATATATCTCATCTTTTTTATGTTTCTATTGAAGTAGGGAAAAAAGACTCAATTTTCTGAATCATAAATCATAATATATTGCTACAATGCTGAAAAGGCAACAATCTCATATTACTGTTGTGATACAACTCACTATGTACCATTAGACAGCATGTCTTAAACTGCTGTCACTCATGACCACTTCAACAGGATGCGCTGTGTTTGTCCCATGACTTACATTCAACAGTGGTTGAGATCAGACATACGTCTCACAGTGTCACAACGAACACTATCTGCATCTAGTCCTACTTTTTAAATAAAGAACTCACATTATTATTTCACTATCCTTGTGGCATGATTGCTATGTTTGTGTCAAGAGAAGAATATAGCAACAACAATTCGTTTTTTTGAAGGTAGCAAATATTTAAAAACATAATTCCAAAGATTAAACACTTACCAGGTAATAATTTAAGAAAGATAGGAATAATAGTTACTTGTAGTATATTACTATTATCAAGAATATCTGTGACATTTTTTTTTTGCTTCCTACATTTTAAATATTCTGACTTTTGCTTTGCCCTGTTTATTTGTGTTCATTGCATAACTAAAGTAAACAATTTTTAATTAAATGCTTATCTTTCAGTGTAAACTGTAGTCCAGTCTTTCTGCTTATTCTTACTCCATCTAGCATTTTAGATCACAACTAACAAATTAAAATGTTTCAGTGTGACAGAATTGCAGAATTGAGTCTTACCGGGAATCCACTGCACTGCAAATGTTCCCAACGAGAACCTTGGCAGCGCAAGAACTCAGGCTTAGAGGTAACTTGTTCTTGTTTGCAATAGCATTAGTATAGAATCTGTCTGCAAAATATGCCTCTGTAGTGCTCAATACAACAGGTGCCATTTTGCCTCCAAGTAATGAGAGCCTTGGTGTGAGCACAAAGGGCTCACGCCTGAAGAATGAAGCATAGATCAATTGTGACTTTAATCTGCGTATAATTTAATATTAGCCCTATCATTTGAAACTTATCACTCTGGCTAATACAAACCAAAAGAACTGCAGATGCTGTAAATCAGGAACCAAAACAGAAGTTGCTGGAAAAGCTCAGCAGGTCTGGCAGTGTCTGTGAAGAAAAAAATCAAGAGTTAACATTTTGGGTCCAATGACCCTTCCTCAGAACTGTTCTCAGGGAGGGTCACTGGACCCGAAACGTTAACTCTGATATTTTTTCTTCACAGATGCTGCCAGACCTGCTGAGCTTTTCCAGCAACTTCAATTTTTCTTCTTGTCTCTGGCTAATACAATCTCTTGAACAGTTAGCGGAGGGTGTGCTCAACATCAGGGAGGAGCACTTTTTCTCCTTCACCTTTCCCCCAGTGTTTTTTAAAGGGATCATCAATTTCTTTTAGGTCAGTTGCCAGTTATTTCCACCAGTCCTTGCACTGATTCTAGAAGTGGTTTCCAGAGTTGTTTAAAGCTACTGAAATCTACAGGGAGTGGTGTTGAGGATGCTTCAGCTCTTTGTTGTAACTTCAAGGATTTAGTGCCGTCCACTTGCTCCTGTCCAGGACTGGAATAGATTGCATTCCCCTTGGCCGACAAGACAAGGAGAATGAGCAAAGCTGAATGGAAAGGGCAAGTTGCTGGGAAAGGGAGGAAAATGAAGGGTAAAAGGATTCTCATTGATAGGCCTGCTCTGAATGTTCAAGAGGCAGTTCTGCTAGCTGAATCTCGGTGACAATGTGTCAGATGTTTCCACTTCACTGAGGATGTCTCCACTAAATCTGTTGCATTCTACTTCTGCAAATGCAGTTTCAAATCAGGGCAAGGACAGCATTGCTGATGTCTGTGAAGATGACTCTGACCATGAACTTTCAAGTGACTGATAACTTCTGGATGGGAGCAAACAACGTTTGCAATGTTTTGTAATTTGCCATCCAACATTGTATCAGGGTTGAACAGTACCTTGTATCATGGAAATCATTGGACTCTGTATTCTGAGAAAATGAACAAATTTCATTTTTTTTTGCCAGTGAGAAGTAGTTGGAGCATGCAACCTGCTTTACAAGGATTGCAGATTTTCGTTGATCTCACTTGTGAGCATTGTATATCAACTTTAAGATCTACTACAGCTGAAAGGATACTGCTGCTATAAATGTCTATCTGTGAGCAGTTATTTACAGCTTATCAGGCCATGGATGTCATGATGCTTTAGTTCTGTGGTAGTGTTCTGTAACACCTGCATTTGAGCCACCTCAACAAAAAGTGCCTCTTAGAGGCAAGCATATCCTATGACAATGTGGCTCCTAACTGCTGTGGCCAAACCCCACAGATGTGGGCAGCTGTTCATAAGCAAAAACTATGCTGTCATTTGGAATCCATCAATGTTTCTCCTGTCTGACTTCTGGCTGAACCCTGCAATACATACAGGCAGAACACATGTCAACATCCTGCTGCATATGACACAACTTCACCATCATGAGGGCACAGCTCTTGGACCAACTAAGAACGAACATTTGCATTCTTATGTGAATATGTTTTTGGTGACTAACCAGCATGAAAGTCAACAGCAAAAATTAAACCCATGATCTATCAAGATAGGTTTCACTCTTTAATACTTTAATGATAATTTAATGGTCTGTTTGACACATTTATAGGGTTTTAAGAACACTACTTTTTTTTCTGAAAGCTTTATACATTAGTATTTTATTTATTCTAAGCAATTTCACCGATGCCATGAGAACTAAAGTGTTCACTGGTTCAAAACATAGTATATACTGGGAATGGAGGGACCATAATTTGGCATAGGGGCTATAAGGAACCTTTAAGCGTGGATGGGATGTATGAGCTGGCATTCAAATGGCATGGGACAATTCAACACCATGGGGCTATGTGGGAGCATGAGTTAGAATTGAGTTGGCATGGGGTCTGTAAAGGGTTATGTGTTGGATAAGGACATTAATTGGCTTTGAGTTGGTGTGGAGGGTCATAGTAAGACTCTTTTCAACTTGCATTTCAATAAGTTCCTCAATCCCTCTATACCACTGGAATCTGTGAACCATAAGTCATGGAGATTGTGACACGATGCCATTAAAATTGCAATGTTCTACACCTTCAATGGAACTTGCTAAGGTGGGCATATTGCCTAGAGCTATATCTCATAATAGGGAAAATTAGAGATGTTGAGCATGGGATTGGAATAATCTAATCAGTGCCTGCCCTCTATTTCTAAATGCCTAAGAGTATTTCCAACTCTGTGAAAATCCATGTCCAACCTTGATTGTTTGTGAAAGGTCATTGAACTTCTTATGATATTGTGTCCTAGTTCAAAGGGCAAGACTTGTGGCATTAACTGCCACAGTCATTTGATCTCACTGCCTTCACAAGGTTTGTCTGGAGCATATCCTGGTCCCCTGTGGATAGATCACATCCCTCTTCCTTTCTCCATCCTAAACTAAAGTTCCAGTGCAGCATCGGAAAACTTTGAAGCCCGTTTTCTGGTATTGTTGTGCCATTCTTAAAGTTTTTCCAGGTCAAATTCAGTTTTCAAATTACTTTTAGCTCTTGCTTCAACCAAAATAGACCCCTTCTTCAGAAGGTGCAAGCTGGTTTTAAGCAGTGAAGGTTTGTTTGAAGACATGCTAGCCTGTTATGATTTTGCACCTCTGTGCACTTAACACTGGCTGCACACTATAATCACAATGAGCACAAGGTTCACCTATTGCCTGCTTTAGGTGAGGGTTACCATGCATCATAATACCCATGTATATTTTCAGAGGTTAGTGATGTTTGTGGCCTGCGCTAGAAGCCTTATGTCAGGAGGTGGAAAGGAACAATGATATAATCCATCCACAAGGGGAACGGAAGGGCTGTATCTTTTATTTCACATAAATAATTTTAAATGTTTTCATTTCCATATCAGGGGGATAAAGGAGAACAAGGCATGGCTGGACAACCTGGAAGGGCAGGGGCTCAGGTAAAAATAATGTAGCTCAATTTGTTGCATCCTTAAATTGAAAGCATGACTCTGTCTCCAGAGCATGTCACAGATTAATAAAATACATCTATGCAATAACTGAAAGTAGACAACAGTGAGCTTCTGTCTTCAGTGGGTAGCGATACTGGAGGAAAAAAGGATGTCTTTTACGACCCATTCATTACAAAACATAGTCTCACTTGTGTAAAATGACTGCAATCAATCCTTTCTGTAAATACCATTGATCCCCAGTGGCAACAGTGTGTATCACCAAGTGTGCAGCAACTTAGCAAGACTCCTTTTACAGCATCTTCCAAACCTGCTAGCTCTAACACCGAGTGGACAGATGTATGGGAGCACCATACGATGACACTTGCAAGTTCTCCTCCAAGGCAAACACCATTCTTTCATGGAAGTATATTGCCTTTTCTTCACTGGTGGTGGGTCAAATCCTGGAATTCCCTTCCCAACAGCACTATGGTGTACCAACAGCACATCGACTGCAGTTGCCCAAGGAGGTGGCTCACCACCAAACCATCAAGGGATTGCCCTAGCCAGTGAAGACAACAATCCATGAATGAACCAAATAAAAAAATGATTTTGTCCGAGTGTGCAATCATTCATATCTTATGTTAGGTTTGCCTCTTGCTCCCCTTCAGTTTCTTTTTTTGGCAGATGTGGTGTAGTTGTAGAGAGAAGCTAGCTTGGGGACATGCTCCGCCACATGCCATTTCCCCACCTCTCCATTTTCTATAAAATGTGTGAATTTATTTGCAGGCAGATATATGAAAAGAATGTCATTAGGAAATATAGCCTCTATTATACTTTCTGCCTCTTGCTTTATTTTAAAATGAACAGAAGAGGTACCTATTACATCTAGATACTTAGCTGCACTCAGTCAACTGAAGAAGGCAAAGAAACCTTTATTGCTAGTGGAACCTCTTCAAATTATCACAAAACAATACATGTGTAAGCCCAAGAACAAAATGTCATTGCTTTTCTCACACATTTTTATGTGTCCCTAGCAACTTGAGGCCACAGGTAGTCCTGTACAACAATAAAACTTCAGACCTGTTGTGTTATATCTGAACTCCCTTCAGCTTCTTCTCAGAAGATATAGGGAAGTCACACTTGTTCATTCTAAAGTCATAGGAATTAGAAATACTGCAGCAGGCAAGGAAATAGTCGAATGATGGGAGTGTGGTTGTGATGGGTGGGGTGGGAGAGCTGCAAATTTGGGCATTTATGCCAGGAAAAAAATTTCACCCTGCTGGAAATTTGCCATTGTCAGAAGGCCCAGAAATCCTGTGTTAACTACTGTTGTTAAGTAATCTATCTTTCGAATTATAAAAATGATCTTTAGTAATGTCAATACTTTTAACGTCAGCCATTAAAACACGTTTGCTTCTATAATCCTTAACTATTATCTTGTTACTGTAACCCCAATTGCAGCTAACATCTTTTTGGTATATAACAGGAAAATAGAGAAAAGTATATTTTTATGTCATTATATTTAGACAATAAATTAAGTCATAAAAATAACAATTAATAAATCCATCTAAAGATAAATATATAAGTTAATGTTTTGGGATATACAATCTTTACATCATTAATCAGCCCTGAAATGTGACATGTCTTTAATGATGGTTAATGAGTTACATTCATAAAATAAAACAGGAGGAAATTGAACTTAGTCTTCTTCAGTTGACATCATTAAAGTTAGAACAAGTTGTAATTTAAAGAAGTCGCATTTTGCTTCATTATAAAAAAGTAAGAAGGAGCAGCAGGCATAGGCTATTTGGCCCATTGAGTCGTCGCTGTCATCCAATAAGATTATGGCTGATCTGATCATCGTCAACTCCACTTTCCTGCTTTATCCCCATAACCCTTGATTTTTTTGATTAAAAATCTATCACAGCCTTGAATATATATACTGACCCAATCTCACCAACTCTATGCAATAAAGAATTCCACAGACTGACTACCGTCTGCGAGAAAAAGAACCTTATCTCTGCCATAAATGAGCGATGTGTTACTCTGAGATTATGCCCTCTGTTCCTGGACATACTCACAAGGGAAAACAACCTCTCCACATCTACCCAGTCAAATGCCCTCTGAATCTTATATGTTTCATTGATATATATTCTCATTGTTTTAAATTCCATTGAATACAAGCCCAACCCCTACTGAACTTCTCCACGTAGGAAAATCCCTCCATACCCGGAATCAACCTAATAAACCTTCTTTGAACTGCCTCCAATGTCAGTATGTCTTTCTTTAGATAAGGAAACCAAACCTACTTACTATATTCAGATATGGTTTGATTAGTGCCTTGTATAGTTTTAGCAAGACTGCCTTACTTGTATAATCCATCACCCTTGAAATGAAGACCAGCAGTGCATTTGATTTTGCTATTAGTCACTGAATTTAGATGCCAGCTGTTTATGATTCATGCATGAGGACCCCACTCCCTCTGTACTGCAGCTTCCTGCAGTCTTTTCCATTTAAATAATATTCAACTCTTCTACAGGTATTTCTGCTATAACGCATGTTTTGTTAATGCGAATTGGCTGTAATGCGATTGATGAATAGTGGATGCTGTTTGGATAACACGAACTTTTTACTGTACAGTAGAGTGATTTTCTATAGTGTGAGGTCACACAAGAACGCAACTATCATGTTATAGGAGAAATATCTGTATTCTTCCTGCTACATGCATTGTTACATTTTTCCAGATTATATTCCGTATGCCAAGTTTTTGCTCACTTGCTTAATCTGTCTGTAATACTCTGTAGGTACATTTTGCCATCCACATTTCTTGTCTTCCCACCTATTTATTTTGTGTCATTTTGTAAACTTGGTGATAGTATATTCACTTCCGTCATCCAACTCATTAATATTTACTGTAAATAATTGTGGCCCTAAAATTGATCCCTATGACACTCCACTAGTTACAGATTGCAAACTCTCTGTCTTCTGTTAATTAGCCAGTCCTCCATCCATGCTAACACACCCCCAAAATCTTGGGCTGTTATCTTAGTAAGTAGTTCTATGATTTTTGTGAATTATAATGAAATTTGTGCTGTGGTCAATGCCTAAAATGTTTTTCCAGGCATAAAATATTGCATGGAGGAAATGGAAAACTAACCCAGCAGCTAATCTAGGAGTTTTAAAAAAATATTCATATGTCAAACTATTTTTGTGCTGTCATTGTCTTGTTGAAGGGTGTAAGAGGTAGCACTGGTTCCTATGGAAGAGTTGGTGACTCTGGACCTTCGGTAAGATTTCCATCATTTTACTCCACTTTAAGCATTGAATATGGACAGCTATTTATATATCACCTATATTGACTCATGTATGTACTTTTCTTTTGTATCAGGGTATAGCTGGAATAAAAGGAAATAAGGGAGTAGAAGGAAGACCAGGCCGAAGAGTATGTAATTTTTAAAGACATCATCAACTTTAAAATCCTTGGCTTTTCTTTTGTTTCCTCAATAATTACTGAAAAATGCATTTTTCTTCTTCTCAGGGTACAGAGGGTCCTAAAGGATACAAAGGATTGCAAGGAACCATTGGATTTAAGGTGAATTCACAGTAGCCACTTTATGTTGCTACACGCAAGATTGTATTATTTAAATATGAGTGGAAAGATGACTCTGAAAGTTTACTACATTTTGTTTCAGGGAGTCTCAGGATCACCTGGACTAAGAGGCCAAATGGGACTACAAGGTGAAAAGGTATTAAATGAGTTAAATGTTTATGGCATCATGATCCAGTATGATCAACCATGGAACACAGGAATCAATATTGAGCCAAAATTTATCAAACCATGATTTTCTGATCTTGTGGTCATATTGATTCATTATGCTTATGATCTGCTGCCCGTAATGAAGGTTGCCACTATCCCCTTTAAGGGTAGGAATTTACAGAACCTGGATGCGTAGTGTGGTAAAGGAAAACCACACTACAGAACTAACTAGGAGAGTTGTTTGTAGTTAACAAGCTGTAGATAATTGCATACCAAAATAAAATAAAACTGTGGATACTGGAGATCTGCTGGAGGTCACTCAATCTGTGTTTCATCTCCCCAGTATAGAGGAGACCACATTGTAAGCAGCAAATGCAGCAGACTAGGCAAATCTCTGTTTCCACACATGTCTGAGGCTTTAGGTAGTGAGGAGGGAGGAAGTAAACAGGCAAGTGTTGCTCCTTCTGCAATTGCATGGGAAGTTGCCATGGGCGTGGGAGGCAGTGTTGGGAGTGGAGGAGGAATGGACCAGAGTGTCCCAGAGGGAACTGATCCTGCAGAATACTGATAGGGGAGGGGAGGGGAATTTGTGTTTGGAGGTGGCTTCCTGCTGGAGTTTGTGAAAATGGCAGCTTATGATCTTTCAGATGGGGAACCTTGTGGATTGATAAGTGACAGGGAAAGATGGGAAGGGGAAAGGATAAAAGTGTGGGAAGTTGGTCAGACATGGCCCTGTGTCCTATCAACTATGGTAGCAGGGAATCCTCAGTTGAGGAAAAATTTGGACATATCTGAGGCTCCCTCTGAGGAAGGTGGCATCAGCAGAACAGATGCAATGGAAATGGAGAAACTGAGAGAATGAAATGGAATCCTCATGAGAAGCAGTGGGTAACTGTGGGAGTTGGTGCGTTTGTAGTGGATAACACTGGCCAGCCTATCCCCCAGAAATGGAAACAGGAGATGTCAAGGAAGTGAAGGGACGAGTCAGAAATTGACCAGGTAAAGGTGAGAGAAGGTACCTAATGTGGAACACTTGCCTGTTTACCTCCTCACTCCTCACTATCCAAGGCCCCAGATTCACCTTCCAGATGAACCAGTGATTTCTCTGTACTTCATGCAATGTAATCTACTGTATTTGCTGCTCATAATGTGGTCTCCTCTACACTGGGGAAACAAAACACAAACTGGGTGCTTCGTGGAACACCTTTATTCTATCTGTAAAAATGAACCTCAGCACTCAATTGCCTACCATTTCAATACACCACTATGTTCCCATGCTAACATTTCTGTCTCAGGCCTGCTTTAGTGCTCCTGTGCAGCTCAACGCAAGCTCTGCCTAGGTACCCTATTCAGTACCCCAGGACTAAACACTGAGTTAAACAATTTGAGTTCGAACTTCGTCCGTATTCGTTACCCACCACCACACACCAAGTCCTGTTCTGTTCTATATGGGTTGCTCCCAGCACCTCCAGTCCATTCTCAACTATTCACACTTCCTGTTAGCACCCATTCAGAATTTACTTCTCTCCTAGCTAACTGTCAATAATCCGTTTGTCTGCTTCCCATTTTTTTTCTCTCTCTGTGTACTGTCTAAATCTATTTGATTCAACTACCCAGCCCCCACACCCCCACAAACACACACCTCATCAACATAAATGCCACCATTTTCCAGTTCTGGTGAGGCTCACTGGACTCAAAAATAGACAATAGTATGTTAGGAATTAGATAGCAGTTACACTGATTTGGTAGACATTGTACAAAGACATTGAGGATGTCTGGATATTAAGACTCACTTTGAGAACCTCAGCTATTATGTCCACTAGTCCATATGACAGAATGTCATATATGTTAACAATGGATGGTGCTTATGGTGTATCTTTCTATTAACCCTTTCAGATGCATACGCAAGAAGCTCTCTTTCTCATTATTAATATTATAGATCCATGACTATAAATATTCTTATCCCCAGCCCCTCAACTCCTTCAAGTCTCTGATTTTATAAATTCAGGTGGTCTAGCGGTTTCATTGTTCTCCTGGAACATATTCGCTTCAAACTGGGTAAACTTGTAGTTTGCTGAATAGAAGACTGTTAACTTTGATTCTCTTCTCAACAGTGTAAGGTCCATAGGTCCCTTATGTTGTCAAATTCCCCATTGAGTTTATCCTAATCATTCAGCAGCGATTTAATTAACTCATAATGGGATAAGGTTCCTGCACCTCCTTTGCACGACGTCATTGGCAGTATGGACAATATATAATATATTGCTGGTCTCTAGCTCCTTGAATGGCTGAGTCTTTTATGTCCAGATCCTCGATCCATGCTGTTGACCCTATCCTAAATATGAAAACTGTCTTGCATGGTAGTGCCTGTTGTAATGTTGCATGTGCTATGACTACTCCTTAGTGAATATGTTTTGATAGTCCTCTATATGGAATATGGAGTCAACCTCTTTGGCAGGATGGGAAGCCAAGTCTTCAGTTTCCTAACCATCAGCAATTGTGATCATGTTGGACCACATTAGAGTTGAATGTTTCTGTAGTTTAGCAGTGCTGTGTAGAAATTTGTATTCTATTCAAGAGGAACTTAACTGTCCTAATTAGATGCTCAGCTTCCCCATTCACTTGTAGGTATCTGAGCAAGTTTGTGACATATTCAAAACCAGAACTGAGTACAAATTGGCTGAAACACTCACTAGTGCAATTTAACCCATTGTCCGAAACAGTCACATCATGGATACAATGTGTTGCAAATATCTCATGGAAGACTAGAATACTTGGTAAGTATCCTGGATTGACTTCATTGCATAATGGCTGCAGTCTTCTGAGGATCCACCATTCAACCTTTAATGCTGACAGTATGTCCCAAGAACCGCATAGATTTACATTTGTCGTTAAGTGTGAATTCTTCTGCTTGTAAGCACTTTAAGTCTGTATGCACTCTTTAATCATGTTTCTCAACTATTTCCTCATGTATCAACATGTTATCCATGTGACCTGTGACTCCAGGAAGACCTTCTAAGTCCATTGAAAGATGTCTGGGGCAGAGGTGATCTGCTGAAACAAATTCTCCCAAATGGAGTTATGAATGCAGTTACCAATCTTGTTTGCTTGTCCAGTGGCACCTGACATTATTACATTGAGTTTCATGAAAACATTTTTGGATACTTTAGCTAAATACTTGTCAACCATAGACACAGCATGTTTTCTTGTTAAACTGTATAAGGTCAACGCAAATTCAAATAGTACCACCAGGCTTGGGTAGAGTATCCATTGACAACCATTTTTGTAATTTCTTACTACTTGATTTGCTTTATTAAATGATGCAAAATACTCCTGGATGTATTGAGCCTCAAGGTTTTAGCATTTCTTTTCAGTATAATGCTGCATTCAGTGTTCAGCTCCCTCAACCCTTTAAATAATTTAGGTTATTCCTTTTCAAAGGAGGCATTTAACCACTGCTGTTTAACTTCTTCAAATTTTTGAAAAGGATGGGTCAAGATGTGCCTTCCTACCCAAGAATGAGAATTCTTGATTATTAAAGATGTATTGATTTTTTTGTATTTGCTGTCCCCAGTATCAGAGAGTTGCTTTCAGCATACATTTGAGTTTAAATGTTAGGCATCCTGGAGTGTGACTTTTCACTGTTTTTTGCTACTAACAGTAATAAATCAGGAAATGGAAGGAAAGGAGGAACTCAGGGAAATTACAATCACCAGAGAAGTGATATTGAATAAATTGTTGGAGCTGCAAGCTAACAAGTCCGTAGGTCCTGGTAGACCTTATCCAAGGGGCTTAAAAGAAGTTGCTAGTGAGATCATCAATGCATTGTCTTTAGTTGGAGTCAATGGGAATCAGGAGAAAACTCTCCAATGGTTGGAGTCTTACCTGACACATAGGAAGATGGGTGGAGGTCAGTCATCTCAGTTTTGGACATCCCTGTAGGAGTTCCTCAGGTTAGTATCCTAGGCCCAATCATCTTCAGCTGCTTCATTGTTGACCTTCCCTCCATCATAAGGTCAGAAGTGACCTTGTGCAATCAATAGTGACTCTTCAGATGCTGAAGCAATCCATGCCCAAATGTAACAAGAGTGAGACAATATCTAGGCTTGGTCTTAAAAGTGGCAAGTAATATTTGCGCCACACAAATACGTCAAATAAGAGACAATCCAGCCACTGCCCCTTGACATTTAATGGCATTACCATTGCTGAATCCCTTACTCTTAATATCCTGCGGATTCTCATTGACCAGAAACTCAACTGGACTTGCCATATAAATAACGTGGATACAAGAGCAAGCCAGAGGCTAGGAATACTGCAACAAGTAACTCACCTTCCAATTATACAAAGCCTGTCCACAACACACAAGTCAGGAGTGTGATGGAGTACTTCCCACCTGCCTGGATGAATGCAGATCCAACAACACCATTCAGGTCAAAGCAGCCCATTTGATTGGCACCACATCCGCAAACATCTAATCCCTCCACTACCAAAGCTTAGTAGCAGGAGTGTGTACTACCTGCAAGATGCACTGCAGAAATTTGCCAAAGATCCTGAGACAGCTCCTTTCAAACCCATGACCACTTCCATCTAGAAGGACAAGGGCATGAAACATGAAACACCACTACTTGCAAGTTTCCCTCCAAGCTGCTCACAACCTGATTTGGAAATATATTGCTACTTCTTTACTGTCACTGCATTAAAACCTGGATTTTAACAGCATTATGGATCTACCTACCACACAGACTACAACCCACCATGGTCTCCTCCAAGGGCATCTATGGGTGGACAATAAAAATTGGTCCAGCCAGCAATGCCCACATCCCACAAGTGAATTTTGAAAAATCCTTTCCCAGAACTCCCCTGATGTCGGGACAATCCCATTAGGTTGGAAGATAATGAATGTAACTCCTTTAATCAAAAACGGAATGAGACAGAAATCAGGAAATGACAGTCCAATTAGCTTACAATTTATTATGGGAAAAGAAGCTGTTAGAAGCTATTGTTAAAAAGGCTATAGGAGGGCACCTTGTTAAGTTCAAGACAATCAGGTAAAGTCAACATGCTTTTTTGATGGGGAAATTAAGTTTGTTTAATCTGTTGGATTTATTTGAGAAGATAATGTGTTGTGAATAAAGGGAACTCGTGGATGCACTGTATTTAGATTTCCAGAGGCATTTCATAAGGTACCACATCAAAGATTATTGAGGAAATTAAAAGCTCACGGGGTAGTGGGTAGGATTGATAAAAGATTGACTGGCTACCAGGAAGCAGAAAGTAGACTTAAATGGCCCTTTTTCAGGTTGACAAAATATAATGAGTGGTATTCCATAGGGTTTAGTGCTGGGATCTCAACAGTTTACAATTTATATAAATTACTTGTTTGAAGGAACAGAAGGTGTGTTTGCCAGATTTGCTGACAACATAAAAATAAATAGAAAAATAAATTGTAAAGAGGCAAAAACGTGAAACTGTCCACTTTGGGAGGAAGAATAAATGTACGTTGGAGTTTTGGTGATATTCGTTTGGTGTTCGGATCCTGCTGGATCTGCTCATGGGGTATGTCAGATTCTGAGAGTGGAAGTGTTGGGTCAGGTCTGGAGAGCAGATTATGCCCAGTGGTGGGAGGTGGGGTGCTGATGGCAGTGCTTGTCAGATATGTTGTAGTTGGTATTGGGGGATTGTGAGGTCCAGCAGTGAGGAGGTGTTGGTTCTGACTTGGAGCCAACATGTTGGGTTGGGTTGGGGGCTGTCGGGTCTAGCAGCTTTGGGGGAAGGGGTCAGTATCAAATCTAGAGGTGGTGTATTGGTGGGTGCAGCGAGTTAGCTGTTCAAATTAATTGAGTGGGTTTCTAATCCTCTAACCTTTCCTGGGTAGTTAGTAAACTTTAGTGAACTAGAACCTTCCAAATGTTCCCATTTTACAGGGGTCTTTCAGAGGGCTCCAGATGCAGGGGAATTGCATATCAGAAAATTATGATAACTCCATTCCCACGGAGTCCATTGTGCCAGTGTTTCTGCATAGTCTCTACGTGCAACTCCAGTCTACTTTGCTACACTAACTATCTGGCCACCAGAGTATCTGGACCATTATCATTACTGTTTTTTTTTGTCATCACGAGTGAAGCAGTGTGAATAAATGTAATACTGTTTTTTAGCTGTAATACAAATTTTCATCGCATATATTGTCACAGTGACTGAGGTAACATTTAGAAGTAAACAGATAATATTTAATGATTCAGAAACTATTATTAAAATAAATTAATTATTGTAATTTCTAGGGAAACAAAGGTGAAACAGGACATGAAGGCATATGGGGATTACAGGGAGTGAAGGTAATGACAATATCTGTTTACAAACTCGGATTTTATTTGTACAGACCATTTCTGTGCTTAATAGGTTTTCTTTTTATATCTTGTCATTGAACAACAATTTATAACAGATCTATTGATAAAAATTAACCTATCTTGGGCAGTATTTTTGATATTCACAATGAACTGTCTAATAAATATGAAATACAAATTATTCAACTTTGAGGAAAAGAGATTAGAGCAAAGAACAAGGAAAATTACAGCACAGGAACAGACTCTTCAGTCCTCCAAGCCTGCACCAACATGCTGCCCATCACAACTAAAACCCCCTACCCTTCTGCGAACCGTATCCCTCTATTCCCATCCTGTTCATGTGTTTGTTAAGATGCCTTTTAAAAGTCGCTATCGTATCTGCTTCCACTACCTCCCCCGGCAGCGAGTTCCAGGCACCCACCACCCTCTGTGTAAAAAAAAAAAAAAACTTGCCTCGTACATCACCTTTAAATCTTGTCCCTCGCACCTCTCCCTAGTAACTGACTCTTCCACCCTGGGAAAAAACTTCTGATGTCCACTTTGTCCATGCCCTTCATAATCTTGTAGACCTCTATGAGCTTGCCCCTCAACCTCCGTCATTCCTGTGAGGACAACCCAAGTTTCTCCAAGCTCTCCTCATAGCTAATGCCCTCCATACCAGGCAACATCTTTTCTGTACCCTCTCCAAAGCCACCACATCCTTCTGGTAGTGTGGCGACCAGAATTGAACATGATATTCCAAATGCGGCCTAACTAAGGTCCTATAAAGCTGCAACATTACCTGCCAATTTTTAAACTCAATGCCCCAGCCGATGAAGGCAAGCATGCCGTATGCCTTGTTGACTACTTTCTCCACCTGCGTTGCCACTTTAAGTGAGTTGTATACCTGTACACCCGGATCCCTTTTCCTATCAGTACCCTTAAGGGTTCTGCCATTTACTGTATATTTTCCATCATGATTAGACCATCTGAAATGCATTACCTCACATTTTTCCAGATTAAACTCCATCTGCCATCTCTCTGCCCAAGTCACTAACTGATCTATATCCTGCTGTATCCTCTGACAGTCCTCATTGCCATCCACAATTCCACCAACCTTTGTGTCATCTGCAAGCTTACTAATCAAACCAGTTACATTCTCCTCCAAATCATTTATATATATTACAAACAGCAAAGGTCCCAACACTAATCCCACTAGTCTTAGCGCTCCATTCAGAAACCCACCCTTCCACTACTACCCTTGGTCTTCTATGACTGAACCAGTTTTTTATCCATCTTGCAAGTTCATCTCTGACCCCGTGCGACTTTACCTTCTGTATCAGCCTCCCATGAGGGACCTTGCCGAAGGCATTACTGGAGTCCATGTAGACAACATCCACTGCCCTACCCTCACCGATCATTTTCGTCACTTCCTCAAAAAACTCAACCAAGTTAGTGAGGCACAACCTTCCCTTCACAAAATCATGTTGCCTCGCGCTAATACACCCACTGATTTCCAAGTGGGAGTAAATGCTATCTCGAAGAATCCTCTCCAATAATTTCCCTACCACTGACATAAGGCTCACTGGCCTGTAATTAGCTGGATTATCCCTGCCACCCTTCGTAAACAAAGGAACAACATTGGCTATTCTTCAATCCTCTGGGACCTCCCCTGTAGCCAGTGAAGATACAAAGATTTCTCTCAAGGCCCCAGCAATTTCCTCCCTTGCCTCTCTCAGTATTGTGGGGTATATCCCATCAGGCCCTGGGGACTTGTCTACCTTAATGCTTTTCGAGACCCCCAATACCTCCTCCCTTTTGATCTCAACATGACCCCAAATTATCTACACACACCCTTCCCCACATTCCTCATCCACCAAATCCTTCTCTATGGTGGATACTGATGCAAAGTACTCATTTAATACCTCACCCATTTCCTCTGGTTCTACACATAAATTCCCTTCCCTGTCCTTGAGTGGGTGAACCCTCTCCAGGGCCACCCTCTTGCTCTTTAAATATGTATAAAAAGCCTTGGGATTTTCCTTAATTCTGTTGGCCAATGACTTTTCATGACCCCTTTTAGCCCTCCTGACTCCTTGCTTAAGTTTCTTTAGACTTTCCTTTTATTCTACCCTTGCTTCGTGTGTTCCCAGACTCTTAGCCTTGACAAATGCTTCCGTTTTTTTGACTAAGCTCACAATATCTTCCATTATCCAAGGTTCCATAAACTACCATACTTATCCTTCATCCTTACAGGAACATGCCAGTCCTGAGTTCCCAGCAACTTACACCTGAAAGTCTCCCACATACTAGATATTGATTTGCCCTCAAACATCTGCCTCCAATCTACATTCTTCAATTCCTGCCTAATGTTGTTGTAATTAGCCTTCCCCCAATTTAGCACCTTCACCTGACAACCACACTTATCTTTATCCGTCATTACCTTGAAGCTTACTGAATTGTGATCACTGATCCCAAGCTGCTCCCCTACTGAGATGTCAACCACCTGGCCAGGTTCATTCCCCAGTATTAGGCCCAGTATGGCCCCTTTCCTAGTTGGACCGTCTACTTACTGTTCCAAGTTGCCCTCCTGGATGCTCCTTACAAACTCTGCCCCATCCGCACCCTAAGCACTAAGTGAGTTCCAGTCAATATATGGGAAGTTAAAACCACCCATGACGACAACCCTGTTACTTTTACATCTTGCCGAATTCTGCCCACATATCTGTTCTTTCTATCTCCCACTGGCTGTTGGGAGGCCTATAGTAAACCCCAAACATTGTGATTGCACCCTTCATGTTCCTGAGATCTACCCATATTGCCTCGCTGTATGAGCCATCCGAGGTGTCCTCCCGCAGTACAGCTGTGATATTCTCCTTAACAAGTAGCACAATGCCCTCACCTCTTTTACATCCTTCTCTATCCCACCTGAAACATCTGTATCCTGGAACGTTAAGCTACCAATCCTGTCCCTCCCTTGACCAAGTCTCTGTAATAGCAACAACATCATAGTTCCAGGTACTCATCCAAGCTCTAAGTTCATCAGTCTGAAGATAACTAATTATAGGGATAGTTATCAGATATCTGATCCAAAGAAATTTGTCCAATTTGCCTGGATTAATAGAGTAGTGTTTTTAAACCATTCAAAGCTAAAATAGAATATTATAGGTGTTTATTTGCTGCAGTTTGGAGGCATTTGTAGTTTTAAAAAATGGCCTAGCAATTGGTCTTTACAGAGGTCATGTTGTATTGAGGTCAAGTCAAAAATATAGGCTTATTTTTTATTTAAAAATTTTTATGGATTCAGATAGGCAGGAGTACTCCTGAAGGTCCCACAGAACTCTTCAAGGCCTGCTGCAAGCCTATTCATAATCTCCCTTTTGGCATTCCTATCAGGTGGTATTTGTTGATCTGGTTGTGTGTTACAGTTAGGCCAGTTTTGGAAATCCTTTTGTCACTTGCAGCTTGCTGGAAGAATGTTAATGAAGACTCAAAACTGAAAGCGATCTGGGTTTCTAGAATGTCATGTGTTCACACTGCTAGCAGTGTGACCATTTGGCAGCTAACTAGAAAATTGCCTTAAGAAGTTTTGACTTGTCTTGAATTGAGTTCTAAATATCAGTTTTCCAACATTTTTTTAAATTTAGTATTATTGTACAATAGATTCAATTAGGTAAAGTTATGATGTAAAAGTTGTAATCAAGACATACTGTTTCTCAGTTTTTGTGATTCCAGTGATTCATCGGATAAATAAACTTGTCTGTCAAGTGGTCAAATTATTTACTGGGTATAAAACGATTTTGTTACCATTTATGTCTGTTGTCACAGATCACAGAGTCATGGCTGAGAATTTAATGCCATTTCCCATGGCAGGTTTTATGGTGGGGGGCATTTACTTGGCAGGAGGGAAATGGGTGAAAAATAACGTTCCATCTAAGCTGTGCAAAGGGCTTAGGGAGGTTTCACACACGCCAATCACTTTCATATGCTTGCTGACACATTGGTTTTCACTTACTGAAGTCACTGAAGCAATGAGGTCCTTGCAGCAGAAAAATTTATGAGAGGGTTCATTAGTGGAGAGCTAAATCCCTTCCTTTTTTGTCTCAATTACATCCTTAGTGATAAGGCTTGTTGATTTCCTTCCCACCTAACCACCAACTGAGACTAATAAACGGGAAATGAATGGTCACTATGGGCCTCATCCCACTACTACTGACATCAAGCCAGTAGTGGATGGGAGACTCAAGTTCCAGAAACACTGAAAAGCAAACTATGTTTGCACTCCGTGCTTGATCGAGGGCCAAGCATGTGAAAGTGATGGGCTTGTTGAGAGACACTCCTCTCTCCTTCCCTGCCATTCTGCAACCCCCATCCCACAATCCCTTAGCTTCTAACACTCACTTGTGACCTGCAGCCCTTTGCAATCTTGAGCTTTGGGTGGATGTAATACTGGTAGCAGCCACCTTGGTGATGTCTATAAACAGTGCAAAACTTCCAGTCTCTGATTAACTGGCAGCTCTTGTGGGGTTAGGATTTCATCCCCCAGGTGTTCCATCCCAGGAATGGCCAGCCATTGCCTATTGAGGTCCGTGATTTGTATTTTGTTTAGTGGGCATTACTAAAAGTATTGATACATTACCCTCATCTAGCTTTCTAACTATTGGGTGAAACCCCAGTTTCTCACATTAAACAGCACCCATAGAATAATTTATAGCACAGAAGGAAGTCACTCAATATATCAAGTCCATGCTGGTTCTCCACTGGGCAATCCAGTCAGTCCCAAACCCAACTCTGTCCCCATAATTTTCTAATCAACCTGTTCAGAGATGTTGTTATACACCTTGAGCAGGTGGGACTGGAACCTAGGTCTCCTTGTCCAGAGGTAGGAATACTGTCACTGTGCCACAAGAGACACCACTCAGTCCCCACAGCCATGCAAGTTTATTTCTTTCAGATGAGAATCTAATTTCTTTTTTTTTTGTTTCTATTTCTACCACCCTCTGTGGGCAGGGAATTCTAGGTCATTACCAATCACTGCATTAGAAAAGGTTCTTCCACATATTTCCCTTACATCTCATGACAGAATCTCAGATCTGTCCCTTAGTCCTTCTAGCATCAGGTAATGAGAACAGTTTTTCTTTGTCCGACTTATTTAAACCTGTCATAATGCTCATGCACCTCTGTTAAAAATCCCCTGAATCTCCTTTCTTCTTGATGAGAGCAGCCTCAATATCTCAATATAACCTTGTTTCTAAACCCCTCATGCCTGGAACCATTTGGGTAAATCTCCTTTGCAGTCTCTCTTTCCTAAAATGTTGAGCATTCTATACTCGAGTTGCGGCCGAACGAGAACTTTATAAAGGTTCAGCATAACTTCCCTGTTCATGTATGCAGTAGCTGTGAAGCCCAAAATCTCATACGCTTGGCTTTTACTGTTTTATTATGTCCTGGCACTTTCAAAGATTCATCACTTGCACCCCCAGGTATCTCTCTCCATGCACATTCTGTTGAATTGTGCTATTAAGTCTATATTGCCTTTCATTATCTATTCTGGCAAAATGTATCAACTCACATTTCCTCCACACTAACTTCCATCTAACACATATCTTCCTATTGTATTGGCTCATTTATGACATAGAGCATGCCATTCATACTGTCCTCCCTGTTTCCCACCACTTTAACATTGTACCTTCAGCAAATTATGAAATTTTTCTCTGTAATCTATGATTTAGTATACATAGCAAAAAAATGCAGTGATCCTAGATTCTGCATACCAGTCTCCAGTCTGAAAAACAACCACTTACCACACCTGTGCTTAAACCAATTTTTTATTCAATTGAATAATGACAGTCCCTTTCCATAGGTCTAGTTTTGTTAATCATCCTGCTAAATGGTCCTTTATGCAAGGCCAAACAGAGTAAGAATTTCAGATTTCTTTCCCTAAAAGACATTAATAAGCTGGATGTTTCTTTACAGTAATTAATGATAGTTGTTATGGCCACCATTATTGAAACTAGCTTTGTATTCCAGATATATTAATTGAAATTAAATTCCACTAGCTACTATGCTGGGATTTGAATCCATATCTCCAGTACATTAGCCTAGGTCTCTGGATTGCTTGTTCGGTAATATTGCCATCATGCTGCCATCTCTCCATCATAAGCATCATTCACTTCAAGTGAAGTATATCATAACTTTTTTCTCATTATGACCAGAGAACATTATTGCAATCCTCAAAATATTTATTGTACCATTTTCTTTTTGTTTATTTAATTTTAACTGATCACATCTTAAGGGTGACAAAGGATTCCCTGGTATTGAAGGCAAACCTGGCATGAAAGGAACCAGAGTAAGTTGTTTTTCTATTATTTTCTTAATGTATTAAAATGTTGAGTTTGGCATTTACTTGAAAATAATTTGGTTTCAACAATGTTACTTAAAATGATTTTGCAGGGTCTTGTGGGTGATCCAGGGTTACCTGGTAGAAAAGGTACAAAAGGAAAACTTGTGAGTAATACTGTGTCTCATGATTGATTTGTTTTGTTTGTGTTTTCTTGTGGTGAGATGTTCATGCTCACAATTGGAATACTTCTATTTAGAATTATTGTTAATATAATTCCAGTACAGGTATAGGATATATTACGTGTAGAGTCAAACTCTGTAAACCATATTACATTATAAATATTTAACTCGTACTTAGAAGAGCAAGACTACCAATGTGGCATTTATCCTTTGTATGTTAGCCATTCTGATGGTTTCTACTGACGATTGTTGGATTCCATACAGTTTTACTATTATGAGCAGTGCCTGGCAAAGGCAATGTATGAACAATGTACTTTGAAATGTTAGGGCTGATTCCCTTATTATACAATCCTGGAGAGAAGCAACACTGACATGAAGTACTGGTCAGGATGTAATGACTTTGCAGCCTCCTGTATTCCATCTATTTACTTAGTGAATATTATAGGCCAGCAATTCCTACCACAATAATCAGATTAGCTGTTAGCTTATTGACTGTTGGACCATGCTCTAAGAGCTGACTGGCCTAGTACTACTCTTAATTTGTATGTTTGTTTGTGACCAGTGCTGCTGCTGCTTGTCAATTGAGGAATCTGCCCTGAATCTCTATTATTAGACTTAACCCCAACGTTAATATTGACAACCTTTTAAAACTGTTTGTGATATGATGTATAAAGTATTGAAGGAGAAAGAACTAATAGTTACTGCACTATAGCCAAGTATGTCCTCAAAAACTTGTGTGTTATCAAGGATATGGAACAAACAAAACTGTTTTCTTGAACAGGGAGTTCCAGGAGCTTATGGGTTGTCAGGAGAATCTGGACGTAAGGTACAAATATGTTGAGTGCCATTCTAAGCTAAAACAAAAACTTTTCTAAATCCAGTGTTAGCTCTTACTTACAGTATGAACATTGCATTTTATTTGCAGGGAATAATAGGAGATCCCGGCCAACCTGGGCGAGAAGGAGTCCCAGGCATTGAGGTATACTTTTTTGAATATCTAAGTGAATGTCAACTTGCTGTGTATGAGAATACACATATAGAATTAATTAATGCAATCTAATTTTTTTATATCTAGGCATATCAAGGACGACAGGGTCTGCAAGGACCAAAAGGCATTAGTGGACTAAAGGTTTATGAAAATTAAATATTTTCTTTTGCATGAGGTTTTTGAATAATTTGACCAACACTAAACACAAGAGGACTCCAATAATTTTGAGTTCTCTAATTTTTTTAAGGGAGAGAAAGGATTTCCAGGACCACAAGGTAACGAAGGTCCAATGGGGAAACCTGTAAGTGGTTAAAATTATAGTTTGATTTCTTTTTATGATATTTTATGATTCTTGTATTTTAACTCCCATCTGTTCGATGATTTAATAGTAATAAAAATACGTAAGTAGAATACAGAAGAATTGCTAAGTGGATTCATGATTTCAATTTCCCATGTGAGAGCATATTTCTGGTTATTGAGTGCAGAAAAATTTCTTTCCATTATGAATTTGAATTTAGATTTTGCTAGCAATGGTAAACATATAAAAAATATTTGCTCAATGTTTACAATGTAACTAGTAGTGAACAGCCAGCGAAAATGTTCCTTTATCTGTAACCAAGATCTCATTTATAGCTCACAAACTTAACAGTGAGGAAGGGATAATCCTCTGATCAATCACATTATTTCGCTTCTGCCGAGCTGGTGGTGGCATTGACTGAGGCCTATAAGATGCTCGCCTTTGTTGTTTGGACAAGGAAAAACTCAAAAACAGATAAATAGAAAAAAAAACATTTAAAATAATATCCCTAATGTGAAAGGAAATTTGAGGTACATTATATAATCATACAATGCCAGCCATTGCCTTCATGTGGTTGGGTAAATGGCTGCCAACGTTGCCACCATTCCTTGATTTAACAAAATATATTGTAGTAATTTTAAAATTTTTTCTCAATGAATTATGTTAATTTTTACATGACTTTATAATCCCATCTGACAGGGACTGAAAGGCCAAAAAGGAGATACAGGAATACCTGGCTGGCCTGGATTTGTTGGGTATCCTGGAATCCATGTAAGTTTTATTGTGATCGCCAAGCATTAATCTTCATAACATCAGTAATCTTTTACTTTACATATCTAATATGTGCCTATTTCTTTTTAATAATCTAAACTTCCTACAGGGTCAAAAAGGAGACCCAGGAATGAAAGGACAAAAGGTATAGATCTCATTTGACCTGCGCTGAAACGGTGTAGCATTAATAAAGTATTTAATGCCCTTTGTTTAACATTTTTCTTTTATTTACTGTCGGGATGTTAGCATTGCTGGCAAGGCCATCTGTTCATGGCCCATTCCAAATTGCCTGTGAACTGAATTGCCTATTAGGCTATTTCACTGTGCAGTTAAGATTCAACCACATTGCTGGATATGGAGTCACTTGTAGGCCATAAAAGGTATGAATTTTATCGAATTCATTCCTGAGAGACATTAATAAACCAGGTGAATTTTAAAGTGATAGTTTCATGGTCATTAATTACAAAACTGGCATTTTATTCCAAATTTATAATTGACTTTAAATGTCACCAACTGCTATGGTGGGACCTGAACTCATGTCTCTGAAGCATTGGTTCAGAAGTCTAAATTACTAATCCGGTAACATTCTTACTGTGCAATCCTCTAAATTGTTAAGATTCTGAACACTGAGTTACAAACTTCTGAATTCAAATTTCCCTATTGAATTACATGCATAATCTCAGCTAAAATGCTAAGTTTTGCACTGCTCAAAGTGATGTCTTCAGAACAACAGTTAAACTAAGGTACATTGCTTGCTTCAATAACTAAAAGATTCCATGACCTTGTCTTGACCAGTTTCCTTCAAGCAACAATCAGGGAATAAAAGTATTTTGTAATTAATGATTTATTGTTATTGCTATTTACAAACTAGCTGTCATATTTGCCTACACAACAATAGTGAATTTCATAAGTAATCAGTAAATACACAAGCAACTTTTTCATCTAAGATAAAGTAGTTTCCTTGATTCACATCCTATCCACCATCTTAAATATTGATTCCCTCCCACTACCATATGATAGACCACTTGCCAAAAATTCTTCAACAGCCAGCCCTTCCTATATCCAAAACCTCTACTCTTAGAAAGGTATAGCTAGTCTTAACTACTAATACCATATGGAGAAGGATATCCACACAATATCGTAGGCTATAGATAGGCACAATCTTGAAGGACAGAAGATAAATTTATTATGTATTACTGAATAGCTAGTTACATATCATCTGAGATGCATGATACTTCCTTCTGAGACACCAGGCTCAATTTACAAGTGAATACACATGACTGATTTAGCTATGTGCTATTAACACTAAGAACAATCACTGAAACTCTCGTAGGACAATGGAGAACCATATTGCTTCTCTCAGGAACAGACCCTTATATCTTGATGGGTGGAGCTTATCTTGTAATATTAGTTAACCCTGTTGTCTACCATGTAGAACCATGGCAATGGGTGAATGGAAACACCATCACCAGCAAGTTTCCCTCTTAGCCACCGAATTGTGCTGACTTGGAACTATATTACTGTTCCATCATGTCTCTCCTTCCCAACAGCAATGCGTGTACCTAAATTAAACTACTGCTACAGTTAAAGAGAGTAGCTCACCACGATTGTCTCAAAGGTAATCAAGGATGGACCGCAAAAGCTGCCTTTGCTTGTGATGATTACATTACATGAATTTAAAAAAATACTGTAATCCATTATCTGTAAAAGGTTTTGGGTAATCCAGCAGATCTAATAAAATGCTAAGTAAATGCAAATTTTTTTTTCATTAATAATATTACATGGCACTTATATTAGCTTATGACGTAGAAAAGTTGGGGGTAAAATTTGGTAGGGACACTGAATGGATTGTCATGGGATCGGTGCCTATTAGACACATCACTCAATTTATTTTGCATTAAAGTTAGTGAACAAAAATACAGTGAGGCGTAAAATGGGCATTTGATTCACTACCACCCCGTTTCACACTGCTATCGGAATTGAATTTTGGCATGTGTGCGTTTCTAACAAGGTAATTGGTTAGCTCAGTTGGTGGGATGGCTGGTTTGCAATACAGAGTAATGCCAACAGGGGAGGTTCAATTCCTGCACTGTCTGAAATTATCACGAAGGTCCCACCTTCATCTCATTCCTCACGAGAGGCGTTGTGACTCACAGTTTAAATTCCCCACCAGTCATCTCTTCAATGAGAGAGCAGTGCTCTGGTCCTCTGGGAATGTGGCAACTTTACCTTTTGTGTTTATTTCTTACAAGGATATAAAATGAAATGGCAAATGGTAAATAAAAACTGAAAGAACTGCAGATGCTGTAAATCAGGAACAAAATCAAAGTTGCTGGAAAAGCTCAGCAGGTCTGGCAGCATCTGTGAAGGAGAAAACAGAGTTAACGTTTTGGGTCTGGTGACACTTCCTCAGAACAGTTCTGAGGAAGGGCCACCAGACCTGAAACGTTAATTCTGTTTTCTCCTTCACAGATGCTGCCAGGCCTGTTGAGCTTTTCCAGCAACTTTGTTTTTGTTTTTGTTATTGTTGTTGGTAAAGGGTAAATACTGCTGTAATTTATGCAAAAAAAGTTTTGCAGTGTGCTGTGAGACTGAAAAATTGAATATTGAGCATTAATCTCTTGTCTCTCAGGGTGATACAGGTCCTATTGGAACACAGGGTATTGAAGGTCTAAAGGTAATACAAATAAAATTTTAAAATTGACTTTTTATAAGATAGTAGAGAGTAATCTTTATATTAATGGCATTTTCCAAATTATTTGGTTTAAGGGTGAAAAAGGACACAAAGGACCAAAAGGAGATGTGAGTAAAAAAAATTATGGGCTTTAAATTCTTAGGCTCACTTAACAATTCAAAGAATAAATTTGAATACCGTGATATTTTAAGAACAAAAGCAAACGGTCAAGTGGTTTGAAAGGTACAAGAAACTTGTCTTTCATTCAGAAATCCAAGCATGAGAGAAAAATCCAGCCTAGATTTCTTTTTCTGATGTGCTAACCAATTAATGACCCATAACAGAAGCTAACCTCCAGTCTAATTTTTGCTAATAGTTTCATGTATGGAGCCTTATTAAATGCCTTCCTGAAATCGATATGGAAAATTTCCGTCAGCAATCCTGCACCTACCATACCTGTAAACCTCACTCCACAGAATGCATGGAGACATTGCTGGTGAAATTTCTCTGACCTTATTGAGTATTATTGATGCATAGCCAGGTCTCTGTCTAGGACTGGAGTGTGGTGATGACAACTGCTCTATACACTGGAACTTCAGTGGACTTGCAGAGATCTTTGTTGTCAAATACTAGTTGGCATAATTTGTAGAAGGCTGAGCTGGCACAACTGATCTAGTATTGGATCTCCTTGCCAGAGGTAGCTTTTTGAGAGAAGTGGCTGTTAAGGTATTGGAAGCGGTCAAAAAATTCTCTTCTGATTTTACTGCCATATTTGTCCTTCGTATGTTGTGAAGTTCTGTGTTGTTTCTTGCAGTATAGCCGGGTAGATGGCCAACTACAGGGCCATGCTGCCTGACTACAGAAATTCACTATTTGTGTTTGAGACTAATAGAACAGCCCAGGGATTCCTGCCGCTGGTGGGCTCATTTCTTAGAGATGTCATTTGTGCAGGATTATATGATGGTATGGAACTGCTACTAACATGGCTGCTATCAACAGCTGTGAGAATCTGCATATGCTACGCCTCACATTGCTCACTGATCTCTATAAGTTTTAAATGTGAAGACTGATAAACGTTTGGAATCATTCCATGCTTCCCAAAACTTTAGGTAAGTGCAAGCTGTGATATTTGGATCTTAAAGCTTCTATTGTAGCAGTGGGAGTATCGCTGAATGGTGAAAGGCAGCATTTTAACATTTTAATGGAACTGTTCACTAGTGTTGGCAGTGATAGGGACATTGTTGTGAATGAGTTGGGCTCTTGATTTTTGTAGCAGGAAACCTTGCTGTTGGTTGATTAACTGTGTTGTAGTACTAATATCCTATTTCAGGTTTTCCTGGTTAGTCAGGGCGATGATGACCGACATCTGTCAATAACAGGAACTCTATTTGAAAAAAAGACTTTGGCAGGGGTCAGAATAGCCATATCTAATTTTCTTTCTGAGGATTTCAAGAAGAAGAATGAAAGAGAGCAGTCGGAAGATTGCCGTATGGTTCTCTGACTGATCTGTGAAGATGATCCTAGAGGTAGTGAAGGCCTGAAAAGATATGTTGTTTCTTGAAAATGTGAGGAAGAGGTTAGCCATTGAAAATAAGCAGGTGTAGTTGGAAGTCTCTGAAGAAGGGTGACTGGACTTAAAATGTTAACTCTGTTTTCTCTTCACAGATGCTGCCAGATCTGCTGAGTTTCTCTAGCAATTTCTGTTTTTGTTTGTTGCAGCAGGAGTGTATCCCTAGGTTATGAATACAACACCACAAAAATTCAATCACCTCATAAAATGCAGGAAAGGTGAGAGCACAGTACTTTCAGGTGCCAACCCTTGAACTCAGATTTTCACAGCATTCTCCTGCACAGCATTCCATAGAAGATGCCTTGTAATTCAAATCATCCTCTCTCTCAAAGCATTTCCTTGTTTTTCTATCTGACATCCATCTACCCAACTTGCATCCATCCCTCACAGTCACCTGCCTCGAAAGTTGCCACTCCATTGTCTTCACATGTTCCATTTCACGGTATTATTTTCTGCTTTCTCTCATTGCTGAAAGAAGTGCAGCACTTCTGGGATACGCAGATAAATTGGAGCGGTTTGATGGCTAAGTTGTTAACATGTCTGCCTCACAGCGTCAGGGACCTGGGTTCAATTCCACCCTCAGGCAACCATCTGTATGGAGTTTGCACATTCTCCCTGTGTCTGTGTGGATTTCCTCTGGGTGCTCCAGTTTCGTCACAGTCCAAAGATGTGCAGGTTAGGTGGATTGGCCATGGGAAATTGCCCATAGTGTACAGGGATGTGCAGGCTATGTGGATTAGCCATGGGAAATGCAGGAATAGGGTGTGGGGGGTGGGTCTGGGTGGGATCCTCTTCAGAGGGTCAGTGTGGTTTCGATGGGCTGAATGGCCTGCTTCTGCACTGTAGGAATTGTATGATTGATGTGACACTAAAGGTAATAGTGACCCTGTCCGTGTGGAACGGTTGTGCTACATTAGCAAGGACATTTAATGTATGATGGTGAGATGGCAGACTTAGATTTCATGGCAGAATTAGATTTTATATTGCCACCTGACATATAACGTTCACTCATAGTGTCATACAGCACAGAAACAGACCCTTCAGTCCAACCAATCCATGCCAAACATAATCCCAAGCTAAACTAATCCCACCTGCCTGCTCCTTGCCGATATCCTTCCAAACCTTTTTCTATTCATGTACTTATCCAAATGTCTTTTAAACTATACCCACAAGCACCACTTCCTCAAGAAATTCATTCCACACGCGAACCACCTTCTGTAAAAAAAATATTGCTCCCCATGTCTTTTTTGAAATCTTTCTCCTCTCACCTTAAAAATGTGTTCCCTAGTCTTGAAATCCCCCATCCTAGGGAAAAGACAACTACCATTAACCCTATCTATACCCCTCATTATTCTATGAACTTCTATAAAGTCGCCTCTCAACCTCCTATAGTCCATTAAAAAAGTCCCAGCCTATCCAGCCTTTCTTCATAGCTCAGATCTTCTATACCCGGCAACATTCTGGTAAATCTCTACTGAACCCTGTCCAGTTTAATAATAATCTTCCTATAACTTGGGGACCAGAACTGAACACAGTACTCCAGAAGAGGCTTCACCAATGTCCTGTACAACCTCAACATGACTTCCCTACTTCTATACTCAAAGGACTGTGTAGTGAAGGCAAGCATGCCAAATGCCTTCTTAACCACCTTGTCTACACGTGACACAAACTTCAAAGAATTATGTACCTGAATCCTTAGGTCCCTCTGTTCTATAACACTATCCAAGGCCCTACCGTTAGTTGTATAAGCCCTACCCCTATTTGTTGTACCAAAATGCAATACCTCGCACTTATCCAGATTGAATTCCATCTGCCATTTTTCAACCCACTGACCCATTCAATCAAGATCCCTTTGTAATCTTAGAAAATCTTCTTCACTGTCTGCAATGCCACCAACTTTGGTGTCGTCTGCAAACTTACTAACCATGCCTTCTATATTCTCATTTATATAAATGACAAACAAAAGAAGACCCAGAACCAATCCCTGTGGAACGCTGCTGGTGACAGGCCTGCAGTCTGAAAAGCAACCCTCCTCCATCACTCTCTGTCTCCTGCCATTAAACCAATTATATACCTAATTGGTAAGCTCACCCTGAATCTCATGTGACCCAACTTTACTAATTAGTCTACCATGCGGAACCTTGTTGAAGGCTTTACTAAAGTCCAAGTAAAGAACATCTACTACCCTGCCCTCATCAATCTTTTTGGTAACTTTCTCAAAATACACAATCAAGTTTAAGAGACACTATTTTCTTTGCACAAAACCATGCTGATTATCCCTAATCCATTTTTGCTTCTCTAAATGCCAATAAATCCTATCCTTTATAATCACCTCCAATAGTTTACCCACAATTGAAGTCAGGCCCACAGGTCTATAGTTGCCTGGTTTCTCCTTACAACGTTTCTTAAACAAAGGTGCAACATTAGCCACCCTTCAGTTATCAGGCACCTTACCCATAGTTACAGTTGATGCAAATATCTCTGCAAGGGGTCTCGCAATTTCCTCTCTTACTTCTCACAACATTCTGGGATACATTAGATCAGCTCCCGGAGATTTATCCACTGTTATATTCACTAAGACCTCTGAACTTCCTCTTCGGTAATGTGAGCTATTTTTAAAACATCAAAATTTATTTCTTTCTCCATAGTAAAAACTGATGTGAAATATTCATTTAGTATCTCTCCCATCTCCTGGGGTTCAACACAAAGATGACCTTCTTGATCTTTGAGGGGCCCTACCCTGTCTCTAGTTACCCTCTTGCTTTTAATGTATTTGCAGAATCTCTTTGGAGAATCCGTAACCTTATCTGCCAATGCTATCTCATAGCCCCTCTTTGCCTTTCTAATTTCTTTCTTAAGAATGCCTCTACACTCTGTATTTGATTTAAGGGATTTAATTGAACCAAGTTGTCTGTATCTGAAATCATTCTTACTGTTAACGAAACCTCAATATCTTTATTCATCCATTGTTCCTTAATCTTACCAGCCTTACCCTTCGCTCTAACGGGAATAGAATGCCTCTGAAGTCATCACACTCTTGAAAGCCCCCCACCTGTCAGTCGTCTCTTTACTTGCAAACAGACTACTCCAGTCAACTTTTGAAAGCTCTTATCTCATACCATTAAAATTTGCCTTACTCAAATTAAAAACTTTAACTTTTATGAAAGGATTATCCTTTTCCATTGCCATTTTGAAACTGATAGAATTATGATCACTAGACCCAAAGTGTTCCCCCAACTTTACTTCTAGGCAGTGCATTCCATGCGCTAACTGCGAGTTTTGTTTGAAAGTCTTTTCTCACCTTTCATCTGCATCTTCTGCAAAACAGTTTTAAACTGTGCTGTCTGATTCTTGATCCATTTCTGAGTAGGAATAATTTCTGTCTATCCACTCTGTCCAGACCTTTTATGAATTTTAAAACTTCTGTCAAATCTGTTAGCCTTCTCCTCTCCAAGGAAAGCTGTCTGATCTGCTCCAATTTTTAAAAATAATTAAAATGTCTTATCCTTGGAATCATTCTCATAAACATCTTCTGCATCTCCAATGCATTCACATCCT